CTTTTCACAAACAGAGAGAACATTGCAGACTCCCTGCTATGGGGCTGTTTTGGGATGACAGCTGACGACACAGGTAGGGTCATTAGAATAGGGACATGGTAAGTTTTAGCCAGTATTTTTAATTTTATTCCCCTGCCAAAGATTTCCTGAAGGTGCTAGGTGGAGGGATGGAGACTGGGGCACAGAGATGGAAGAATATTTGCTCATTCATTCAACAGATACTTACTGGATCCCTAACATGTCTGGCACTGTTCTAGGTGCTGAAGATACAGTAATGCGCGAAACATAAAAAAGTCCCTGCTCTTGTGGAGCTGAAATTTTAGACAAATAGCAGATAAAATAAGCAGAATGCAATATAGCAGGTAGGGTTGTTTGCTGTGGAGAAAAAATAAAGGAGGTATGGAGACAGAGAGTGGTCAGGGAAGACTTCTTGGAGGAGGTGGCATTTCAGAAGTCTTAAAGGAGCTAAGAGAGGGAGCCTTGTAGATATGCGGGAGGAGAGTGTCCCAGACAGAGGCAATAGCCAGTGCAAAGGCCCTAGGGTCAGAGTGAGACTGGCGTGTGGGAGGAACACTGTGGCTTGGGTAGACTGGGAGGGAGAGAGGGAGGGGGTGAGGTATAACGCAGGACCCTGTGGGCCACTGTACAGCCTTTGAATACTACAGAGCAGAATGAGATCTCCAGAATGTACATCAGAGTGTGACAGAAATGCTTCTGGCTCTCAGGGAGCAAACATTTTAGTTGGGAGTGGGGTGGGGGAGGAAGAAAACAGACCAGTAAATTAACAAGTAGTTATGTGGTTCAGAATGTGAGCCCCCAAGTAGTTAGGGACTTTGTTTTGTCTGCTCATGTCTTTGTCCAGAACAGCACACGGCAATACTCTCAATGAAGACATACTGAAATGGCCCCGGCCGGTGTGGCTCACTGGCTTGAGTGCCAGCCTAGGAACCAAAGGGTCATCAGTTAGATTCCCAGTCAGGGCACAGGCCTGGGTTGTGGGCCAGGTCCCCAGTAGAGGGCCCTTGAGAGGGACCCACACACTGATGTTTCTCTCCCTGTCCCCACTCTCTGAAAATAAATAAGATCTTTTTAAAAAAGGACATGTTGAAATGAATGGATTGTGTTAAGTGCTGTGAAGACTATAAAAACAGGGTTTTCCCTAAAGAGGCTCCAGAGAGGGGTGAGGTGGGGGGTGTGGCTATTTCAGGTAGGATGTTAGAGAACACCCCTGTGGTTAGAGATGTTTTGAGTTGGAAAGAAGGGTAACAGCAAATGCCAAAGGTCCCTGAGGCAAGACCAAATTTGGTGTGTTTGATGAGCAGAGAGCAGCCGGGTGTGGGGGCTGAGACAAGGAGTGCAAGTGAGACTGAGCCCAGGTCCTCTGGAGTTCAAGCCAGAGACTTTGCAGAGCACGTGGTGCGTGGATTTGACATGGGAAGGCGTGGGCAGGGGGCGGGGCAGGGGAGTGGGGCGTGTCTTAAGCAGAGAGTGATGTGATCCAAGATCCCTTGCAATAGAGACACCTTTTTGTCTCTCTCTTTTTTTTTTAAGATTTTATTTATTTATTTTTAGGGGGAGGGAGAGAGAGAGAGAGAGAGAGAGAGAGAGAGAGAAACATCAGTGTGTAGTTTGCTGGGGGCTATGGCCTGTGGCCTGCAACCCAGGCATGTGCCCTGACTGGGAATCGAACCTGCGATGCTTTGGTTCGCAGCCTGCGCTCAATCCACTGAGCTATGCCAGCCAGGGCTGTCTCTCTATTTGTGCCTCTGTCACATTTTGGGAGACCCACTGGAGAATCTGATGAAAGCTGTACAAATACATGCCATTTTCTGGGCGATTTCATGGGGTTCACTGAACACTCAAGTTCAGGTGTCTAAACTGTGCTCCTGAGGCAGGTAAACTGAAACACCTAGTCATAATGACTAGCACCGACAGAGCACTTAGTCCATGACAGACTCTGTTTTAAGAGATTTATTTTTTTCTAAAGGTTTTATTTATTTTTAGAAAGAGGTGAAGAGAGGGAGAAAGAGAGGGAGAGAGACATTGATTGGTTGCCTCTCGCACGCCCCCAACAGGGAACCTGGCTGGAAATCCAGGTTTCCGTCTGAAGGACACTAACCAACCCCCTGAGCCACACCAGTGAGGGCTGTTCTGAGTGCTCTGTAATCAGATAAGTCAGTCCTCGCAAGGCCCCAAAGAGGAAGGAACTTGATGATCCCCATTATGCAGATGGGAAATGAGATTTGTACAGGATAACTGCCTTTCCCATGACCACATAGGTAGCCAGTGACAAAGGAAAGGCAACACCCTGGAGTCCTGCTCTTACCCTTAGGCTAGACTCTCTTCAAGTTAATCTGGATCTCAGAGGTCAATGACCCCCTACAGTTCATCCTAGGTCTTCCCAGGGGTCTCAGGCCCAGAGTTTGGTTGAACAAAAAGCAGAGGATTTTTGTTTACTTTTTGAACCACTGTTGGTTCAGGTGAGGACCCCAGTCTTGGGGGGTGGACTGGGTTGTGGGGGGCGTCCCACAGCTGGCAAAGTGGGCATGGGGAGAGGGTCATTCAGTCAGCGAATGCATCTGTGTATTTGTTGCTTGTTACCTTATGTCTGTTTCTGGGGTTCGTGGGAGTATTTGAGGCCCAGTCAATCAGCACATGGGCTGGGGAAGGAGGGAGCATGACGAACTCTCAGCTTACATCTCACCAGCTGCGAGTGAATTTGGGCAAGTTACTCACCGTTTGTGCCTCTTTTTCCCTGTCTGGGTAATTGAGATGATCAGTTTCTACCTCGCAGGGCCTTTTGAGGATTCAAGGAGACAGTGCGTGCCAAGTGCCAGGCTTAGAGCCCAGCCTCTGGTGGGGGACTCATCACGAGCGGCCTGTTCGATTAGGTGTGTCATTCCACAGTGTGTTCTGGCTGATACTACCTTAGCTTCACTGTGGGTTACTATGTTTTCCATTCATTTTTCCCTGAGAGAAGTTAGAGGAACTGCCTCTATACTTTCCGGATCTTCCGCTTCCAAGACTAGTTACAAGATTACCCTTAGGTATCCTCTGTCCTACCCCTGGGTATCCTCTCTCCGAACCCTGTGTGAACCAGCTTCCTTTCTCCGACTGCCGTGCGAACCCGGCCGGGTGCGAAACCGGGCTCGCTCCCCGACCCTCCAATTCCAGGGGTAAAGAGCGTCAGGACCCTCCTTCGGGACCTGACCGCTGCGTTCCTTAGCCACGCCCACAGCACTACACCACGCCCCGCCTCAGTTCTCCAATCACAGCCGTAAGGCCACGCCTCCGTCAGTTTCAGGTCTGGATCTGTCTAGAGAACGGCACGCCTCCTGCCCTTTCCACTCTAGCCACGCCTTCTCCCGCCCGGTTTCGCACCGCCCCCTGCCCTCGCAAGTCTAGCAGCCCACCCCGCCGTGTCAAAGCCCTAAGCTTTGAGTAGTCACTACCGTGGGGATGGTTTTGCCACTGGAAAGGTCTTGCCACGGGAAGTTGGCGAAGTACAGCCTGCTCTGGGGCAACTTGAATCTCTGGGCCTCGGGAGGGGGTTAGGCAGAGGCTGTAAAGGTCTTGGACCCACCCCCTTTGTCTATAAGCGTCTGTCTTTCAATAACATCTCCAGAGTAAAAAAAAACAAAAACAAAAAAAACATCTTTTCTGGTGGGGAGAAAAAAGCCGCAGGAACCTGGTGATGTTAGGATACCCCTCAGCAAGGCCACTTGTCTGCCACTTTCAGGCTCAAAGTTCTGCCCAATCTCTGGGCTCTGTAGCAAGAATGGAACGTTGTTGTTTTTTTTGTTTGTTTGTTTTTGGAATGGTCAAGATTGTAGGCTCCCCCTATTTCCTCTAAGATACAAACATTAAAAAGGAAAAAGAAAAGAAGGAAAAGGAAGAGACAATGACACTTCATCTACTAAAACTGACAAGTGGACTACATAAAAATATCACTCAGAAGGACCCAGAGTACGGGTGAGCCCTCACTAAGTAAAGAGAGAGGGGAAGGGTGGCTCAGGTGAGAGTGAGGAGGTGACTTCTGAGACTCACCTCCAGCCCCTTCCTGGATTTCTCCCCCCACCCCTTCTCCCTTCCTTCCTTCCTTCTTCCTTCCTTTCTTTTTTTCTGTTCTCTTTCTCTCTCTGGGTCTCTGTCCACCACCCTCCTGGGTATCTATTGTCCCCCACTCCTACCCTACCTCACCTCCCACCACCCTTGTCCCTCTCTCTGGCTCTCCGCCTTTCCTCTTTCTGGATCTTCACCCCCTTCTCTTTCTAGGTTTCTGTCTTCTAGTCCCTGAGTTCCCCCCTCATTCTCTCTGGTCTCTGTCCATTCTGTCTCTGTGTGTCTCTTTCTCAGTCTCTCTCTGTCATCTCTTTGGACTTTTGGCCATGCCCCCTTCTTAGCCCTCCAACCCTGGGGCTAAAACCTGTTAATCCATCTTTCTCCTCATCAATTCATGGCTCACCAATTCCCGCTCTTTTCAACCCACAGCCCCATCCTGCATCACTAGGAAGGGCCATGTGACTAGCCTTTGTGAAAGGAAGATTGGCAGAGGTGACCTCTGTCACTTCTGGGTCCACAGAAGTTAGGAAGGCTTCTCCTCCTTCCCCTTCTTTGTGTTGATGATGGCAGAGCCAAAATACGTGGGGCTAAATATGCTTCAGCCCCACATTGCACTGTTGTCCTGAGCCCCTGAGATGTCAGAGTTTGTTTGTTACAGCAGTTCATGTTGCTCTACCTTACACCACCCTCAGTGCACATTCCCATACGGAAAGCTGATTAGACCCCAACACTAAAATTCCCAAACCTTCAGCTCACATCCATTTCCATCCTGCTTCAACCCTAACTGAATAGAACCTTAACCCAACCCACATTCTTTTCTTTTGAATTTCAGACGTTCCTTTTTATTTAGAAATCCTGTACCACTTTGTTTTGGTTAAATCATGTAGTCTTTCTTCAGCTTATTTTTAAAAATTCTGCCTAAAATATAGTTTTTTTAAAAAAATATGAAGCACTTCACAAATTTGTGTGTCATGCCTGCTCAGGGGCCACACTAATCTTCTCTGTATTGTTCCAATTTTAGTACATGTGCTGCCGAAGCAAACACATATCCTTGTATTTTAAAAATAACAAATAAATATAATAATGTGAGCTGGTAGAGATCTGGGAGACTGGGTGTTGTACGGCACCTTTCATCTTTTGTCTGCAAATGTTGCTGCCGCTGTCGGTGTTCCCATGTCCCCTCTTGCCAAAGCTGTCAATTCTTCTATTTCAGCATTTAATGTATGTATTTACCATTCCGTTACTTCCGGCCTTTATTAGCATTTGAAGACACCATGCTTGCCATCAGCCCTTGGAGATAACTTCTGAGACTAACTCCTTTCACAGAGATTATGGCCTCGCGACTCCAGCAATTTTTACTGGGTCCTGAAGATGTGGTTCATCTATGTCTTCATATGCAAAGACTGTGGTCTTTCATCTACGGACACCATATTCGTAAATGTCATATTCTTGGCTCTGTGTTCCACTGTCTTCTCTCCAGGATCAGCCACAGAGCATTCTTGAATGTATGTTTGGGTTCTTGCCGCACCGATGAATAAATATAATGCGAGTGGAAGGCAGTCCCCACTCTGTGCTGAGAAATCTGTGGCTGTGCGTATTTCCAGAAGGATCTGTATGTCTGCCCCATACAGCACCTCTGACCACGCTTTGGGTCATAGGGTTTGGGTATTTCTGCATTGCAGCTGTTGTAACAGTTTCCCATGGGTGGTCAAAGACATGCTCCAAAGTCCAGATCTTCGTGGTGCTGGCCACTTGTGCGGTGTCAGGAAGTTGCAAGGACGCCAAGAGGCCACACAGGCTGCCACCACGCCCCCTAGCCACCCCAACCCGAATTCTGACAAAAGTTGGGTCAATGCTTAAAGGTGATCCTACCCCTGTTCTCGTCTTAACTCTGCCTTTGGCCTAGCCCAGCTCTGACCTCAGCTATGACCTAGCCCTATCTCTATTATAAACCTGACTCTGACTTTGTCCTGAACCCAACACTATCCTTAACCCTAAACCTATGACCTGTTCTTAGCCATGACTTTTTAAAAAATTTTATTTATTTATTTTTAGAGAGAGAAGAAGAGAAGGAGAGAGGGAGAGAAACATCAATGTGTGGTTGCCTCTTGAGCACCCCCTACTGGGGACCTGGCCTACAACTCAGGCATGTGCCCTGACTGGGAATCGAACCAGCGACCCTTTGGTTCACAGGTTGGCACTCAACCCACTGAGCCACACCAGTCAGGGCTTAGCTGTGATTCTAATATTGGCCTAATTCTATCTCTAATGGCCCTAGTCCTTAATGGTAAATCTGATGATTATGGTATACTCCAGTCTTAGACTGTAACCCTGGTCCTGACTAGAGATTGATTTACCTCGACCTTGATCCCAGAGAGAACCCCCATCCTCTCCTAGATCCAAACACAGCCCCGATTTTAGCCATAATGCTAGCCTTGACTATGATTCCAGCTATAGCCAGATTTTTAACTCAATGGCTAATCTTTACCTTTGTCCTATATAATCCAACCTTAACCATGATTGTAACCCAAACACCAACGCTACTTGTCATCTTTACCCGAATCCTAACCCTTTCTTCAGCCCCAAACCAAACTCTGGTGATAGTGACTGCTACCGATCCTTAATCTTAGCCTTAGCCTGATTAATTTCTAATCCCAACTGGAACCAAACTCCAGTCCTAAGAGCTTTAATGTAACTAGACGGCATCCTTGATTCTTCTTCATCATCTTTCACGCCCCCTACCCAGTCTGCCAGGAAACGCCATCAATGCTGCCTTAAAATTCCATCCATAGCCAACGACTCCCCCTCATCTCCACAGCTGCCACCACCTTCTCCCTGGACCTCTGCAGCCATCCTCTCACTGGGCTCCCTGCTCTACTCCACGCTCCTAGCCCTGTCCCCTACAGGCCGTTCCCCACACAACAGCTAGAGTGATGCTGTTAGAATTCGAGTAGCTCACATCGCTCTGCTCAGAAGCCTCCCATGGCTTCCATCTCACTAGGTGTAAAAATCAAAGCCCACAGTAGCCCTCAAGACCTCAAATTAAAGGGCCCCCTTTGTCTCCTCTCTGACCCAATTTCCTTGCACCCTCCCCTTCCTCACTCTGCTCCAGTTGCCTTTGCTTTCTTGCTACTGCACGTATATTCCAGGCACATTCTCCCCCAGGGCCTTTCACTTGCTGTTTTCTCTGCCTGCAATGCTCCCTCGCCAGGTATCTCCATTCTCACTCCCACCTCTCCTGCCCGTCTTCACTGACATGCCACATTTTCAGCCTGTCCGTTCATCTTATTGAAAATTATGATGCCTCTCTCTTCCAGTACTGTTTCCTTACTCCATCTCATTTTTCTTCATGACGTGTATTATCATCTGGTGTACTGTATAATTTACCCATTTATCTTGTTTATTGTCTGTTTCCCTCAGTAGAGTGTAAGTTCTTAAGGATAGGGAAATTTGTCATCTCTTTTGTTCCCTAGTGTGTAGAACAGTGCCGGGCAATGAATCAGAAGATACATAGTGAATAATTTTGGAATGAACAAATGCTTCCAGAGGAGGATGGAGCTCCATTTCCCTGCAGTTTTCCTAGGTAAGGGGAAGAACAGAGAAGAGGGAGCGGGTGGAGGTAGTCACAGCTTCTAGGAGAGCCAGTTGTCAATCTATGGCTGACAGAGGGCCTGGCTCTGTCCTCAAGCCCCAGTAGCCACTCCAGCTCCAAGCAGGAACTCCCCAAACTCTTCCCTACCTGGAGGGGCTGGCTTTTCCCACCTGCAGGGAGAGCAGCGAAGAGACCCCGAAGCCTGGGTCCTCCTGCTGCCTTGTCCGGGGAATCAGGGGCTCCCATACCTTCCCCTCCCTTACAGCTGTGAGCCTCCGGTTCAGCTGACAATGGCCTGAAGGCCGAGAGGGAGAGCACCCTCCATGCTGGAGCTGGAACTGGACCTGGACCTGGGGACAGGGGTGAGGGTGAGGCAGGGAGGCTATGGGGCTGGGTGCTGAGCAGCCAGCGATGAAGAAAGAGGACCAGAGACGGCCATAGAGATGAAGGACTGAAATAAAACTTGTCAGTGAAAAAGGGGCAAAAGAACGGGCCGAGACCAAGAGGACTGAAAGCGAGAAATACATGAACATAGGGAGTTGGAGGTATAGCATAGAGAATCTAGTCACTAATATCGTAATAACTATGTATGGTGCCAGGTGGGTACTAGACTTAACGGGAGATCACTTAAATAAATGTCTAACCACTGTGCTGTACATACACCTGAAACTAATATAGTATTGAATATCTACTGTAATTGAATTTGCATATGTAAAATTGAATGTCAACTGTAATAAAACAAATTTTTAAAAAGAAAGAAATGGGCAGTGAGAGAGTGCGTGCAATTATGGGGAGAAAATGGGGTCCCGCAACATTTATTCCACTTCGCATCTATTTCGCACCCCTAGAGCGCTAACTGCAGCAGTCACAAGCTAAAACTACAATTCCCAGAATGCCTTGTGGTGGGGAGGGGGCGTTCCAGGAGATTTAGGTTCCACCAATCAGATGCCTCCGCGGGAAGCTTGACTTTCTAATTAAGTTGGGGAGAAAGGCAGCGACTTGGCCGCCGCCCTGCCACCGCGGATCCCGGCGAGCCGGGGTGGTCACGGAACCTGCGGCCGGCCTCCTGATCGCGCAGGGGAGCAGCAGTTCCTGGGTGGCCTTTTGTGGGCGGTGGATTTGGGAGTGCCCTGGAGGCTCAGCCTACAGCCCGTGTCTTCCGGCAGGCTCTGTGCTGCTCAATAAGTCCCTTTCTCCTTTCACTGGCCCGAGTGGATTCTGCTGGCTGCCACTGAGCAGTAAGGGGTACACAGACAGGGAGAAAGAGATTCAGACTCGGGCAGCGACAGGGAAAGCTCTTGGGAGAGGCACACGGGTGCCCCACCCCGAGGAGAAACAGAACCAACTGAGGCGTACAGTGGGACGAAACTGGAAAAACAAAAAAAGTGATGGAAGAAAGATGTGAGACAGAAACCGAGAGAAATACTGAAAGTAAACTGAGGCAGCAAGGAGCGTCGGCAGAGGCAAGGGCAGGGGGCCAGAAACAGTGACAGAGACCTCCCCAGATTGCTGGAGTGGCGGTGCTGGAAGGGGACCCTTTAGAGACGAGACTCCAGCCGGCATAGCATGTGGAGGCAGGAGGACAGAGGGACGGGACGCTGGAGAGGCCCCCGGCGTGTTGGAATCACCGAGGCCCCGCCCGCTGGTGGAGCATTCTGGCGGGATGTCTCTTTTCCCCAGCCCCAAGCTTCAACAGCCTGACCCAGGAGGGGTGTAGTGTCCCTGAATGCACTCCCCAACCTCTCCGTCACTGGCCTCACAGGCCTTGTCTCTGAAGGGATCCCAGACTCCACTTGATGAATCAGGAAAGGGTGAGAAGGGTGACCCCACCACTTTTGATGTCTGAGGCAGACCCTGACTCAGGAAGACTGAGGGGCAAAGGAGGGGAGGGAACAGAGAGACAGGGTCTCTAAGAGAGGGAGGCTGAGTGACCAAGAGAGAGGTCTTAGGGACAGAGAGCTGGGGAGAGGGAGGCAAAGAGAGGGGAGAGAGAGGGGCAGTGAGCAAGGCATGCCGGGGTCGGGGGTCCAGACAGTGGACTGGGGGGACCTGGCTCCTCTCCTGGCTTTGTTGTTGCCCCCCAGATCTCTGTTCTCCATCTAGGGATGTCTGATAAAATACAGTATAACTAGTTCCATTTGAATTTTAGGTAGTTTAGTTTAAGTACGGCCCCAATATTGCATGGAACATACTTAGACTTGGGATCATTATGCTCATGGCGCCCTGACAGGTGTGGCTCAGTCGGTTGGGCTTCATCCTGTGAAGAGAAAGGTCGCTGGTTCCACTCCTGTCAGGCAGGGCACAAGCCTGGGGTGCAAGTTCGGTCCCGGTCGGGCTGTAGGGGCGCGCTGGAGAGGCAACTCAACTGATTGATGTTTCTCTCTCACATCGATGTGTCTCTCCCTCTCTTTCTCCCTCCCTTCCCCTCGCTCTAAAAATAAATAAAACCTTAAAAATAAGAAAATTATACTCATTTTTAAAAGTCTGAAATTCAAATCTCACCGGACACGCTGTATTTTTATTTGCTAAATCTGGCCACACTCTCCCCATCTGTTTTCTTTTGACCTTTTCTGGGTTTTTTGTTCGTGCTTGTTTTTCCTTCGCTCTGCCAGTCCACCGCTGCCTTCTCTGTTCTCTTAACGACCTCGCTACAATGTGCAAAGGCTTCTCAGAACCATCCCTGAGTTCCCCACACCCCCAACTCGCCCCCCTCCTTCCTCCATCCTCCCAGCCCAGCCCCATCTCTAAGACATCTTTCTCCGCCAGGAACCTCTTCTGTCTTCTTTCTTCATCTCTCTTCTCGTGGAAGCCCCGCACCTCTGCAATTCTCCACCCCTCCACCCGCATCCCTGCCACCAGAAAAGGTTTGGAAGGTTTGGAAGCTTTGAGTTAGGGATCCCCCGGTACTTACCTGTGTCCTGACCTCCTGTTGTTTCCTTTCCTTCTCCTGGGCCAGAGAGGTTGGTCGTGAGAGATTTCCAAAATCACACGGCAGAACAGACTAAACTCCACCCTCTCCCCCAAATCCCTCCCCAGTTCTCAGCTTCCTGGTAGAAAATTCTTCTACTTTTCATGAGTAACAGCCTGATTTGGTGATATCTCTGAATACCAGGCAATACTTGGAGGTCACAGGCCAGGGCCAGAGGTGCCTGTGGAGCAAGTTATGGCGCATTTTTTAGCATCTACTATGTGCTAAGAGTTGGGGATATGGCTCACAGGCTGTTAACACAAGACCAGTGACTGGTCATGGTTGTTGCCACGTCCCTGGGCCTGAGAACATAGTAGGTGCTTGGTAAATGCCCATCGAACAAACAAATGAGTGAACAGATGAAGAAACACACCCCAAGCAGGTGAGGACTCCTTCCCATGTCTTCCTTCCTTGTCTTTATCCCCATCGCTGTCTCGTACTTTGTCATAGCCTGTCTCCCCTGCCCCATCCTTGGTCTGTCATTCTCTCCAGTCATGTTATTGTTAAGTTTTTGAGCTGGGAGGTTCTTCTCTCCAGTGACCACTGTCTGCTGAGCAGCTCCTCTGTGTCAAGTACTGACAAGTACTTCTGGAATATTCCAGAAGGTAAGTACAGCTTTAATGTGTGTTTTCCAGATGTGGAGACTGAGATCCAGAAAGAAGCAGTGAGGTGTCCTGGTTGCCTCAGAACCAGTGTGTCTGGCCTCGTATCTCTCTTGTCCCTGCATCCCCAACTCTGTTCTTTCTCCTACTGGCCACATCGCCACCAGCCCAGCCCCATCTCTGACACTCCCAAACACGTAAAGAGATTAGTAGTAAACACTTACCACAGGGGTTGCAAATTCAAGTTCGTCCAGGGGCCAGGCATGTGACACCCTCCCCCCTCCCCGCAACCCTGGATGCTGGACAGTGACTGACCCGCTCACTCAGTTACGAGCAGGTGGCTATCCCCACCCAGAGATGCCATGTCTGATTTCTCAAGAGGGGCTCGAAAGCCACATTTTCAGAAGTCTCCCAATGTTTAAATGCTGGCATCAAATTCTCACAAATGCTGTTTGGGCCAAACACTAGACATGCCCGCTGGCCGAAGGTTTGCAACCTCTGAGGTGCTTTCAGTTCCATGTGCCAGGTTCTGTGCTAAGGAAGCATTTCCAGGTTCCAGTAGAATAAGCAGAGACATTTGGGCCTGTCCTGTTAATTGCTTTATCCCCAGCACCTAGAACAGTGCCTTGCCCGTAACAGGTGCTCAGCAATTTTTAAGTAAGTGGTGTATTAAATCCTAGCATGAGCCATAGAAATAAATTTAAAAATCTCCATTTCACAGATGGGGAAATGGAGACCCAGAGGGGCAAAGTCCCAGAGTTACAGAGTAGCACTGGGATTTTAACCCAGATCTCAACACACTCCCAAACTTTAACCCTAAGCTGTCCAGACTCTGCTTGGGGTCATGCATTTGCAATGCTGTGTGTGTGGCAGCATGTTTGCGCGACTGTGGTGCGCGTGGTGGCAGTGGTGTCTACCCTCCTGATTGGGCGTTGAGGCCCGGAAACTAAGCCTGGAGCGCCTGCTACCCTGACATACCCGCCCTGGGTGCTCACGCAGTCCAGGGAGAACATTCCGCCCCTCCCCTCTTTGGCCCACCGTCAGAATTTCCCCCACCCTCCTCCCCTGGATGCCCAGAGCCCTGGGGAGAAGGGGGAAAGAATTTAGGATGAGGGTGGAGGTGTGGGAGGAGGGAGAGGGAAGGGGATGGGTTAAGGAGTGTGTGATGTCAAGCAAAAAAGACAACATTAGACACAGATGCTGAGATGGCGTTTATCGCGGCAAAAAAAGGTGAAGTCGCCGAGGGAGAGGGGGTGGGGGGAGGGGGTGTGGTGGGGGCCGGGGTGGGGGCCATGGAAGCTAATACATGGTGCACTAGGTCACACGACGGACACTGGGGGTGGGTGGGTGCGGTGGGCGTGGCCCAGGCATGGCAATGGGGGGAGGGGGAGAGGAGAGGGCAGTGGGCCCCAGCCAGGAGCTTCTGGAGGTGGTGGGGAGGAGGTGGGCGGCGTCTCTGGTTGCAGAGGATGGAAGGAATCAGTTAGAGGGGGTTGAATGGAGACACTGGAGGCATGGCCACATGGTGGACGGTCTGGGTCCAAGAAATGGAATCTGGGAACGGGGGAGCAGGCAAGGGGCCAGCCCAGGGCTTGGGCCTTTAATCTAAGGATTGGGGGATACCCAAGGGGCCTTCAAAGTCCTCCAGTCCCCTCATTTTCCAAGGGAGGGAACAAGGCTGGGAGAGGCTAGCTTAAGATCCTAATAAGGATTTAGCAATCTGTTCTCCAGCCCTTCCCCACCCCATTCTTCTCCTATCTTGTCTGACCCAAACAGAGCAAGGGGAAAGAGAGATTCTAATTCCTCTGACTCCACCATTATCTCGCTGAGGCTCCTCAGGGAACCTGGAGGATGAACCCATTTCATAGACGGGGAAAACTGAGTCCTCACATCACACTACACCTTTCCACACCTCTCCCAGCTCCCTGCCAGGGGATCTGTGCATCCCATCCCTCTAGGGCTAATACTGATAATCCTGACATCCTTAGCATTGGGGATAGGTGAGGGGACACACCTTGGGATTTTCCCAAATCACACCAGGATGTGGGCCATGCCTCCAGTGGCCTGAGATGCCAACACAAAGAAAAAAAAAATGACTCCCCACGTCCCCTGGCTCAAACCCAGTACAAAAGTGACTATTTACAATGAAGGGGTGGGGAGTGGCGGGGGCACAGAAAGGAGTGGGGCCAGAGCGAGCTCTCCGCTTGGGGGAGGCCACGCCCCTGGCCGAGACTTTGAAAGGGACAAAGCCAGACAGATATTTATACAGGGTCTCTACCCCCAGGGCGGGGAGGACCCTAGGGATGAGGGGTGGGGTGGGGCATGGGATGGGGTGCGGGTGGGTAGGCATGGGCGGTGCGGGGAGATGGAGGAAAGGTAGCTAGTGCCCCTCACCTCCCCCCTCCCCCGCGCCGGACACACAGTTTCCCGTGGGATGAACACAGAAAGGGTTAATCAAAAAGTTCGATGAGCGAGTCTGACTGTCGAGTGGGGCGAGCTGGAGCAATGAGGCCGCAGGTCCCGGTGGTCGGTGGTGATGGAGTCACTTAGAAAATGAGAGGTTGGTGGTTTGGGGGGTGGGGGAGGGGGGAAGAGAAGGTAGGGGAAGGGGATTAGGCGGTCTCCCCAGTTATCTCTGGGAGACAAGAGTATCCTGGACTGGCTGAGAAGGGGTTAAAAACCAGCAGCCTTCACCGCCCCGAACCCCACGGAGACTTCCCCGGCTTCCTCCCTGCCACCCAACACAGAGACCGACCTTACGCGCACCAGCAGCGCACCACGGGAGAAAAGTCCCGCATGGCGTCCAGACGGCTGACTGAGGTGGAGAGGGTTCGCGAGAGCAGAGCTGGCTGTCGCGACTCCACGAGAGCCGTAGGCCTGAGTCCCTGGCCCGTAGCGCCCCAACAAGGGCTTCGCGATCCCGTTCTCCCCATCGTGACATCCAGTCCAGGCTTTCGCGACAGCCGAGAGGGGTTCCAGACGGCGCGGCAGGCGCGTGGCGGACGGCGAAGGCCTGCCTGGCGGTCGCGATAGGGGTGCACCCCATCAGCAGCCTGGACGCCCAAATTGCCATTCTCATCACCACTCTCGGCGAATGCTGTTTCCACCGCTCCGTCTCTCAACCTCCAATCCTGGTCTTGAAAGAGCAATAAATCAAGGCAGGGGAATCCTCTCACTTTCCAAACAGTAGGCCACCACGAGAAACAAAGTAAAGAGGGCGTGGGTGGAGGACTAGGCAGGGGAAACACAGCGAGGGGATACCGAGGAGTTTGGGAGTTAAGAAGGGGAGAAAAAATACCACTCAGAGGAGAGCGGTACCGTATTGTTCCAAGTACAGGTCCCCGACCGTCTATAAATCGACTCTTTAAATTCCAATGGTGATACTTGTAATTCCCACTTACTAGCCCAGGGCAGGTGTTAGGGCAGATTCGGATGGCACGATCTTCGCCTTCTCATCACTAATAATTATTGCAGTAAAGCCCCCTTGCCTGTGTAGAGGTGGCTGGGACAGGACAGAAGGTGGCTGGGGCAGGTTGGCTCAGAGCCCCCTCTCGCCCCCAAATGGGGGATGAAGGAGGTGAATTTGGCACATCGAACCTTCTTCTCCTAAGTGCTTTGAGGTCCTCTAGGGAATCCAGCTGGCACCACCCCTTGGGTCAGCAGAGGAGGGCTGAGCTTGTCTCCCCTCCCCCACCCCAATTTCTACAGATTTGCCCCAAGGAGGCCAGCGGGGTTCTCCCTGGCTGGTGGAACTTGGGGGAATCCAAAGGGTTAGGGGTTAGAGGAAGGGGAGGTTTTTTTTGTTTTTGTTTTTTCTTACAAAGATTCTAAGAAAAACTCAGCGTGGGAGGGGTGAGGCAGGGGACCCAACTGAGCTAAAATGTTCACAGACTTTTTCAGTGCCTTAGGGGCCTCCTCAAAGAGAAATGGTCCCATGTCCTACCCCCCTATCTGAGGTTCCCTTCCCCCAGAGCGGCTCAGTTCCAAGTAAGTTTGGCACTTTTTTTTTTTTAATCGATGGGGAAATGGTGGGTGGAGTTGAGAGGAGAGGGGAAAGACAAACATGGACAAAGATAGAGACAGGACAGGCAACACTGGGAGCCACAGGGAGAGGACGTAGAATGCCAGAGGGGGCCAGAGAGAGAGAGGGAAACGCTGAGGGGAACAGCTAGGGGCTGGAGGGCAAATGGAAAGGAACAGGGAGACGACGATTCGATGCAGCAAACACTTATTAAGCACCTAATGGGTGCCGAAGAGCAGGGTGCAAGGAGGCCACTCAGAGTCTCTGAGACCTGACTGGCTCACGGGGAAAAAAGAGGCGATGGGTTTTTCAACGATCCCCATCTTTGACCCCACGTCTGCGTCCTCTCTGGACAAACTGCAGCACACAAGATTGAGGTCAGATTGCAGAAGGGACTTTCAAGAGATAGGGAAGATGGTAACTTTCCCAGGGTGAAATGGGGCAAGGTAGGTACTCCCCAGCATGGTGAGATAACTAGCTCACTGAGCTAGCAAGCTACCTTTCAGATAACCCTGGCTGGTGGGGGAGGGGATCCCCGAGAAATGTGAACAGGGAGGGGACTGTCACACAGATACCCCAAGGGAACACTTTTTAGGAGGCCCAGCCTCCAGAGATGTGTCTGTGTGAGAGGATTACTGGATGAATGAGTACAGAAAGCATCTGACAAGCAGAGGGCAGCTGAGAATGCAAATGATATGCAAATGAGCACTTTCAAATCCCACCTCCCCACTCCCAGACCTTACTTTACCTCTCCCTGGCTCCTTCCCCTCCTCTTGGGGGCCTGGGGATGGGAGTAGTAGGGGGGATATTCCAGCTAGATACTGCCACACCCACACGTGGGTGAAGATACTGTGAAATACTGTAAGGTCTTTTTGGCAGGCAGGAAGGAGCAAAGGCTCACAGGGCCACCACCACCTCCAACCTCAGAAGCCCCCAACTGCAGAAGATAATGTACAAAATTACATCAAGAATTGTTTTGGCACTCAGATCTCCATCTGGGTTCAGTCTGGAGATTAGGGGCGGCTGGGGGCAGCAGCGATGGGAGGGTGGGGGTGGGGAAGTAGGGCCTGCCCCCCACCCTGGAGATGGAGAGGGCATGGAAAAAGTCACCCTAGTGCCCAAGCTACAGCCTCCCATCAGGCGGAAGGGCAGGGGTAGGAAATTCAGTGCAAGGTACCTTGAAGGCTATTGCTTTCTAGGGATTTTCACATTTTGATTTGGGGGTGGCTCTCTAGAAAGGGGCAGGGGCCTCCCAGGCTTTAGAGGTGGGAATTGTCTCTGGCTTTTTTCCCTCCTTTTTGGGAGAGAGATGAGGAGGCCGGATTCCCCCAAAGCCATGGAGAAGGGTCTGGAAGACCTAGGAGGGGGCAAATGGGGGAGAGGGTGGGCATGGGGTGCCCCTCCCCCAGAGATGCTGATGGTGGAACCAGGGCACCTGGGGCCCTGCTTTGGGTTGGAGGAAATGGAGGTGGTCTCCGAGGGGGAGGGGGTGGAGGCGGGTCTCAGCTATCCTAAGTCCATAGCGTGGACAGGCCTAGATTTCAGCCTGTGAACCAGGCCAGCGAGCTGACCACAGCCGCAGCGCTCAGGAGCCACTCCCAAACGAACTCTTAGGGCTGCCTGGCTTGGCAGCTTCCATCAGAACATTCTAGCTCCTTAGGGCCCATGGTGAGAGCACCAAAACATTCTGATTCGTCAGACACCACCAAAGTGCTTCAGCTCGCTGGAAACCACAAGCCAATCTAGTCCATTAGACCATGCCAAGCGTTTCGGCCAAGGGGCCCTAGCCTGGCTCACCAAACTCCGCGAGGGGCCACACAGTCCTGACAGAGCCACCAAACGCCGGGCTCACCAGACTCCATGAAACAAAGCCACGCAGACACGAGCATGCACACAAGAGGCGGGGTGGGGATGGGGGTCTGTAACAGTTTCCACCAGCTCCATCTCCCACCCCTCCCTGCCAGGGGAGTTCACAGCCTTGGTGTGTTCTGGTGCAGGGGACCCTGACAATGCCAGGTCTTTTTTCTTTGAGTCTTTCAGATTAGATCCAAGCCCCGCCCCTCATTCTCCTCCTAAGGAAGACCCTCAGGCCAAGACCCACCAAAGAGGGGTAGGGGGTGGAGAAGGAGGGTCGGAAACTGGCCACGGCCCAATATAGGAAGTGCATGCTTCATCCCCATGACGTCACAGGAGGTACCCTGGAAACACCACAGGAAGTGCGCACCCCCATGGTATCATTAAAATAACCTTCCAGGAAGGCTCGCTGAGACATCGGAGGAAGAACCTGCCTCTCCTATCATCACAGGAAGCGACCTCTGGGGAACGACTTCCTGTGACATCATGAGGAACGCCAGAAGCGCCCCAGAAAGTACTTGATTCAGTGACATCACAACGTTACATCACATCATTCCTGTTCCTTCAGGAAAAGCCACAGGAGATGCCACAGGCGGTCACTCCAGCCTTTCACAAGAGTCTTGCCCACTGGATTGGCCCAGTCCAAGCGCCGGCCTCACTCCCAGCAGCAGAGCACCCCCCACCCCTCCCCACACAACCTGACAACGAAAGAGTTAAAAGCCCCACCTAGGAGGGGGCAACTGTAGTGGGGAGAGAGTAGCTGAGACCATCTGGGGACTCTGGGGTCCCTGCTCCCAGCACCCCGAGTCAGCTCAGGCTCCTGCTACCTCTCCTCCCATTACATCCCTCGATCTGGAACAGCAAGCAAGAGAGGTGGGGTGTTATTTTTGGGAGGCCCCTCATTCTAGGTGACCCAGAGGCTCCCTCCCCTCCTCCCATATGGAAACAAAAACTTATAAAGGGGGGAAAAAAGTCCTTACTGGAAAAAAAAGGAGGGAAAGAAAGAGAAAATAACGCTTTGTTTTCTATTAAAATCAACAAAATGCAATATATACAGATATCACACAGACCTGGGCCCTGGGAGAGGAGAGTCAGGCCCAGCCAAGCGCGGGGAGGGAGGAAGGAGGGGTCAGTTCAGGGCCAGGGAGGGAGCTTCTGGGCTCTGCCCCGGGCCTTTTCTCAATCCTGCCTATGACTACCAGTGGGAGGGGGGCGCGTCAGACCTACCCCAGCCCCAATCCCGGGAAGAGCAGGACCACACCGAGCTGAGGTCAAGAGTTGGGGGGGGAGGAGGAGGAGGAGGAGGAGGAAGAGGAGGAGGAAGAGGAGGAGCAGGGAGAAGGGTGGGAGCACACACCACAGGCCTCATCCCACTTTCTGGGGGTTTGAGGCCCTCACTCCCTGCTCGTAGGTGACCCGCTGGCTGATGAGGTATTGAGCGGCTTGCGTGGCCGCGGGGCTGCCCGTGATGGTGACCCGCCGGTTCCGCGTGCCTGGCAGGAATTCGCCCTTCTTGGAGATCTGGATTCGGGCGCCTGTCAGCTCCTGGTACTCCACCAACGTCTTGCCCCCCTTGCCCAAGATGGCTCCCACCAGGTTCTCAGGCACCGCAATCTCCACCAGCTCCTTGGCACTCTCAGCGGCCAGCTTCTCTGCCGTCAGGAAGCCACCAGCCGCCCCGGCTGCGGCTGCGGCGGCCACCAGCGGGCCACCCCCTCCGCCGGCGCCACCGCCTGCCCCGGCCCCAAGGTAGCCATTGGCGGCCGCGGCCAATGCAAAGGACCCTAGGGCTCCGGGTGGCGGGGGTGGAGGTGGGGCAGCCCCTCCGGCCGGCCCGGCCCCCGCCTCACCCGCGTAGGAGGCGAGGAGGTTGGCAGCGGCGGCGGCGGCAGGGTTGGCACCAGCGGCCACGGCGGCCAGGACCCCAGAGGCTGCGGCCGAGTTGAGGCCCAGGCCAAGGGAGTTGGTGTTGTAGCCGTAACTGGCCAGCGTATTAAGCGCCGTGCTGATGGCCAGCAGGTCGGTGCCTGAGAAGGCAGGCAGCGCGGCAGGAAAGGCGCCCACGCCCGCCAACCCCGCAGGGCCCAGCAGGCCGGAGGCGGCGGCAGCCGAGGCAGCGGCCGCGGCAGGCAGCACATCGGCAGGGCTGGCATATGGTGAGCCGGTGGGGTTGGAGTTGGCCACGGGGCCAGCCACATTGGCGTAGCTGATGTTGAGGCAGCTGCTGCTCTGGGGGTCTTCCTGTACCTTCTGCACGATTGCGCTCACGGCCTTGTGCACCTGCTCGGGTTCGCCGCTGACTGTCACCACGCGCTCCTGCAGGTTGATGCCCTCTGGCTTCTGGGACAGCTGCACCCAGGCCCCCGACTGTTCCATAACAGCTTTCACTGTTGCTCCACCCTTGCCGATGATCAGGCCCGCCGTGCTGTTGGGGACGATCAGCTTGGCCTGCGTGGGCAGCGAGGGGAGGATGGTTAGGGGGGCGATCGGAGCCTGAACAGTAGTAACCTTAGTGTTGTTCCCGACCCTGCTGCTAAGTGTCCCAAATCAGGCCCCCCCCCCCGATATGACCAGTATGTTCCTACTGGTTGTTAAAAATATCAGAATTTTTCACCCTGGCTGGTGTGGCTCAGTGAATTGAGCGCTGGACTGCAAACCAAAGGGTTGTGAGTTCGATTCCCAGTCAGGACATATGCCTGGGTTTTGGGCCAGTCTCCAGTAGGGGGTGCTCAAGTGGCAACCACACATTGATGTTTCTCTTCCTCTCTTTCTCCCTCCCTTTCCCTCTCTAAAAATAAAAAATAAAATCTTAAAAAATATATCAGAATTTTTCCATATTAGTTGGTTAAAAAACCAGCTAGTATGCCAAGTCCCCTCAGTTACCTCTCAACCACCCTGTCTCATGACCCTAGGACCCCTGGGACCTCCCTTCCATCCAGCACCTCAAAGCCTTAACGAGGGGACCCATCAGGACTCTGCTGACAGTGCCCGTGCCCTTCTGTATCGTGAAGTCTTCTGAGTCCCAGAAGAGGCATCATTAGCCTCGCTTTACAGATGAGCCACTTGAGACCTAAGAGGTGAAGGGACTTGCTCCCAGGTCACCTGGATAGTGAAGGAGCTGACATTCAGCCTCATGGATTCCTGCCCCATTGTGCTTCCCACCCCATGACAGGGTCGCTTGCTTAACCTCTTCGTTGTAATGGGCCTAATGGTTCCCCCTCACACCCCCATTCATATGTGAAGTTCTAACCCTCAGTACCTCGGTGACTGTACTCGGAGATAGGCCTAGAAAGAGGTGATTAATACTAAGTGAGGTCAGCCCTGGCTGGTGTGGCTCAGCAGTTGAGAGTTGGCCTGCAAACCAAAGGGTCGCTTGTTCGATTCACAGTCAGGGCACATGTCTGGGTTGCAGGGCAGGTCCCCAGTAAGGGAGGGCAACCTTACATTGATATTACTCTCCGTCTCTTTCTCACTCCCTTCCTCTCTCTAAAAAATAAGAAAAATCTAAGTTGAGGGGGGTAAGAAAGAAGTGGGGGTGCACCAAACTGATAGGACTGATCTCCTTATAAGAAGATTAGGACACAGAAACAGATTGACGACACAGGAAGAAGGCAGACAAAGGCAGCCGCCTACAAGCCATAGGAGAGAGGCCTCCTCAGAAGAAGCCAGCCCCGTCAACATCTTGATTCCAGAATTGTAAATAAATTTCTGTTGTGTAAGCAATCAAGTTTGTGGTGCTGTGTTATGGCAGCCTGAGCAATCTAATACCGTTGTCTGATCTGTAAAGATAGCTAAACTTCACTTAAACCCCTGTTTTAGGTAGCAAAGCAGCCCATCCTGTGCAGCTACAAAATCGATCAATCTAAATCCCAGTAGGGATCTTTCAACATTAAATGTTCTATGCATGAATTCCTTCTTCTCCACCCTGCCCACGTGCCCTCAGAACTGTGGAACTGTGGCCCCGGAAGCTCTCCCCTCCGCCTCTCCTCTCCACCCCCAAGCCAGATGCCGGGCGTATTTGGGAACTTTGTGGGAACAGCTTCGGTTGTCACAAGGACTGGGGGGCAGATATGGGCATTTGTGGGCAGGGCTGAGGATGTTTGCACCCATGATGTGAGAATCAGTTCCTTACAACGAACCACCCGAGGTCCTCTGTGACTGTTGGATGTCCCCCTGGACACTCATGTTGTAAAAACTCTGTTTATAAATCTCAGCCCATGATACACGGAAGTGCCATTTTTTTTGCTCGGTTTTAAGATCTACTGAGGTTTCCAGGAATGCAACTCTCGGCAAATCAAGGGAGGATTGTAGTTTGTTTTGTTCTGAGTTTTACCAAGAGTCTTTTGTCATTTTAGAAAACCGCGACATTATCATTACTGCTACCTGTGTCATTTCAGTTTCCAATACCACCCTCTGGATTCCTGCGTTCGTTGCTGGCTCACTCAGGCTACATTAGGGAGGAGCAGCTGACTGTTTTCATTATTTTTGCTACTGTGGTCCTGGCTGAGCATCTGCATATTAAAATTCATCTGATTTTTATAACAAATCACCTTAGTTTCATTTCTTCTTTATTAAAAAAAATCTAATGGGATAAATAAAAAGTTCATCCATAGAACAGAACATTATGTGGCAGTCAATTTAAAGGAACGGAGTACTGATATACGCTTCGGCGTGGATGAGCCGAGAACACATGCTGTGTGAACCCACGGGCACAAAAGACCACATACTGTAGGATTCCACTTATGGGAATGCTCAGAGCAGGCAAATCTATAGAGACAGAAAGTAGATTAGTGGTGGCTTAGGGCTGGGGGCGGTGAGCTGCGGGGGGACTGAGGGGCGAGAGCTAAGGGGGTCAAGATTTCTTTTTGAGGAAATGAAATGCTCTAAAATTGATCAAGGTGAGGGACACAGAGCTCAATATAATAAAACCACGGAACTGCACCTTTAACAGGTGAATTCTATGTAAGTGAATTATATCAGAATAAAACTTAAAAACTCTTACAGATCCTGTTATGTGTCATATCCATATTTTATGTGTAGTTTCAGAGAGTGAGGTGGGCATGGGAAATATTTGTAGGAGAAAGAAGACATTGGGTCCCACAAGGCTGAGAACTGCTCAGCGCTCCACGGGCTCTGATCCCCGTTGATCTGACTTCATCTCTGCTCTCCCTCCCCCTTGCTGACTCCACTGCAGACACACCAGACTCCCTGCTGTTCCTCTAACTTGCCATGCTCAGTCTGGACTCAGGGCCTTTGCACCTGCTGTGCCCTTACCTGGAACACTCTTCCCCAGAAAGGGAGGTTCACCCCTCCCTTCATTCAGGTCTTTGCACAAATGCACCCCCTCAGAGAGGACTTCTCTGACCACCCAATTATCAAAACCTGTTTATTTGCCTATTTTATGTCCCCGGCACAGGCACCTCGAGACTCATATCCAGCCCTGGCTGGTGTAGCTCAGTGGTTGAGTGCTGAATCAAAGGGTCACTGGTTCGATTCCCAGTCAGGTCACATGCCTGGGTTGCAGGACAGGTCCCCAATAGGGGGCGAGTGAGAGGCAACCACACATTGATGTTTCTCTCTCTCTCTTTCTCCTTCCCTACCACTCTATAAAAATAAATAAATTAAACCTTAAAAAAAGACTCATACAACAGCTAACCTCACAGTTTGTAACCTCACAGCTTTAGACTGAAGTTGAAAGGATGCCCCAAACGTAAAGTCCAAAATGGAACTTCACATCTTTCTCCTCAAATATGTTTCTGCCGTGACCTTCCTCATTTCAGTGCATGGAAAATGCACCCTTCCATTACTCAGGCCCAAGACTAGGTGTCCTCTCCTTCCCTCTCACTCAATATCCAACCAGCAATGCTGCTGCCTCTACCTTCAGAAATCGATCCTAGGCTATGTTCTAGATCAAAAGAGACTAATCAGGTACAGCAACCAAATACAATGACCAAATACTGACTGAATCTTAGATAGAAAAATACATACTCTTTTGATTCTGGGTTTTGGCCCCAAAAAGAAAAAAAAAAGAATATGCACACTATAGCTATAAAAGATAGTGTGGGGCAATGAGGATATAAACTTTTTGTCAAATAATGGTATGGAATTAGTATTAATTTTTGTAGGTATGATATAGTACTATAATAATATAGGACACTGTCCTTATTCTTAAGAGAGATATATGTTGAAGTATTGAGGGGTGAAGAATCATGAGGTTTACAACTTACTTTCAAATGGATCAGTAACAAACAAAACAAAACAAGCTGTGTGTGTGTATAGCTATAAAGCAAATGTAACAACGGGTGATCTCAAGTGCAGTGTAGAGGGAGTTCATTGTGTTGTTTCTTAAACATTTGTAAAAAAGGTTTTATTTATTTTTAGAGAGAGGGGAAGGGAGGGAGAAACTTCGATCTATTGCCTCTCCCATTACCCCAAGGGGCGGGGGGACGTAGCCTGCATCCCAGGCACGTGCCCTGACTAGGAATCGAGCCAGTGACCTTTTGGTTTGCAGGATGATGCCCAATCCACTGAACCACATCAGTCAAGGCTTTCCTTTAAACATTTAAAAAATAAAAAGTCAGGAGAAAAAAATATAGACACCTGATTGACTGTGGGAGCCAAGGGTGGGCAGGGAAGAGGAGAGCAATGGGGTAAAATTGAGACAACTGCAATAGAACAAAATAAAAAAAACAGACACCTCCATAATCCCTTTCTCTCTTCTCTGGTTGACTTTTCTTCATAGCATTGTTCACTCTCTGACATCTTATATATTTTACTTATTTATTTTTCATCTAACCACTTTATATTTTTATTTTTTCTTTTTTGTTGAATTTATTGGGGTGACACTGGTTAATAAATTATATGTTTCAGGTGTACAATTCTACAATATATCATCTGCATATTGTACTGTGTGTTCATCACCCCAAGTCAAGTCTCCCTCTATATTTTACTTATTTACGTATTTTCTGTTTCTGATAGAAGATTTACCATATTTGATTGAAAGAATTTAATTTAAGATCCACAGGGGTAGAGGTTTTGTGTGTACTGCTTACTTCTGGGCTCCCAGTGTGTAGAGGAGAACCTGGCACACACTCCGCAAAGGGGGGTGAATGAATGAATGAATGGATGGATGGAGGAGAGAATGAATGACGGCATGCCCACAGGGCCACGCAGGAGTGAAACCAGGTGGAGGAAACCAGGTGTGTCACCTGGTGGTGATGTGGCGTGTGTGTCTGTGTGTGTTAGGATGCTGTGCATTTGGGTTATCAAACTCAGTCCCATTGAAGTTTTCTAGAGTAACGGGACATTCTGAGTTTCCATATGTGAAGCATCCAAGGTTTTAAATGTTGGCAACCTCTTAAAAAATGTCTAAGAACCACTGTGTAGGAGCCAGGCCATCAGGCTATAGCCTGTGTACACACACCACGGAAAACCCGCCGTGAACTCTGAAGACACCTGCTCAGGTTCAAATCCTGGTTCCATCGCTGAAGCTAGGCAAGGGATTTAACGTCTTTGAGACTCAGTTTCCTCATCTGTAAAATGGGGATATTCATACCTCTTCTGAAGGATGATTGTGAGGCCCAACTGAGATCACGCTTGGAATTCAAGCATGGCCACACTTAACCAGAACTGGGTATGGCGGCCCTTCAGGGGACTCACAGAGCCTACCACTGCTGGGATGCACCTGGCTACCTCCCCTCAGTCATGTTTCTGCTTGGCCCCTGTAAGTGTGTCACTGTGCATTCATTCAAACAAACAACATTTGCTGAGCACATCCTATGTGCCAAGCATAGGGTGCCATGTGAGTGTGCAATTAATATGAGCCCATAGTAGGTACTCCAAAAAGGTTGTTGTCATTGTTATCCATAGACAGATCTGGATTTAAATCTCACATCTGGGTTAAGGCCGCTTTGGGAAACAGTCTGGCAGAGTTTTAAAAGGTTAAACAGATTTATCCTGTGACCCAGTCACTTCACCCTTAGGTGTGACCCAAGAGAACTGAAAACATATGTCCACACATATGTTATTAACAGCTCTATTTAAACTAGCAAAAAAGGAACAGCCCAACTTTCTATCAGTTGATGAATACACAAACTGTGGTATATTCATACAATGAAATATAATTTGTCCTTAAAAATGAATGAAGTTTTGATATATGCTAAACTTTGCATGACTCTTAAAAACATTATGTTTTTAAACTAGACCCACATAAATATCACTTAATTTACATGAAGTATCCAGAATAGGCAAATCCATAGGCATCAAAATGATCAGTGGTGGGAAGGGGCTGGAATGGGGGGCCTGGGGAATGGAAAGTGACTGTTAATGGGTGTGGCACTTATTTTGGGGGTGGTGAAAATGTTTCAGAACCACGTAGTGGTGGTCAGTGCACACCTGCGTGGACCCACTAAAACCACTGAGTCATATACTTTCAATGGTGAACTTTACCGTAGGTGAATTGTATCTCAATACAACTGTTATTTCAAACAACTCATCAGGAAACAAGAAGTCCGACAAGTGAAGGGGAGAGAACAAAAGAGTGGACTAAGCCAGACCCGAGAGCAGGGAGGTATTTGGTATGTGATACAGCATTTCAGAGCAATGCGGGAAGGAAGGGACCTCTTCACCCAAGAAACTGATCACTTAGAAAGAGTGAAAGGAAATGCTTTCGCGTCTTTGTGTTTCAGTTCCCTATCTCCCCCACTGACATAGCCACAGTTACTCCATACAGTGATGGGGGATATTCAATGGCTAAAGTGACCACCCAGTGCCTGGCACATGGGAGGCCTTCAGAAAACAGAAGCTGCCTTCATGAGAGGCCCAGAGTGGAGAACCGCAGCATCTTAGAGAGATCCTCAGGGGCCATTCCATAGAATCCTGGAGTCTCAGGATGTTAGACCAGTAGAATTTTAGAATAATAGCCCCAGAATCCTGGCATCACAGAGCCATTGGATTGTAGGCATTTTAGAGCCAGAAGGACCTTAGAAACCATCTGTCCCAGTGATTTGCAAGTCTGAAGATTTTAAACTAATAGTAATAACCACAACAATAGCAATAACTGCAGTAGTAGCAGCAGCAGCAGCTAACGGTGCTGACCATTCGTCAGGCACTTTTCTATACTTTCATAGAGTAACTTACTTATCTTTGCAACAACCTTACAAGGGATGTACTATTAGTATCACTTTTTATAGATTGGGAAATGAATCTATAGGGGTTTAGTAACTTACTCAAGGTCACACAGATAGTGAACACTGGAGCTGGGATCTGATCCCAGACTAGAGTCCAGGTTCAGATTCCTAGGTCTTAGCCCCAAAAATTCTGGTTCAGAGCAGGAAATATATAGTAAGCTACCCGGATAAACTTAGACACCAGCCAGAGTTGAGAGTCATCGGTCTAGTAAAACTGGTGGCAAACTGGTAGTCCCTAGGCCACAGCTGGCCCATAACCATGTAGTGTTTTAAAATCGAAGCTGACCTTTAAAAAGCAGTTGCTTTCAAATATTTCTGGCCTCTTAAAAATACGGAAGATGTGACAGCACTATATCCACATTCCCAAAGGGCACATATCAAGTGTACTTGAGTCAGTGGCTGCCCGCCCCCGTTGAGGGGTGGCATTATATCTCTCTGATAAAACCACGGTCCTCAGTCCTTCATGTTCTCATTCCGAATCCCGGAGGCATTTCAGTTCATAATCCCAGGCTTGGCCCAGCTTCCACCCTGAGGCTTATAGGAGGAAATACCCAGAGTAACACAGCGGGTCCAAGGCAAAGAGAGAATCGACAGACCTGTTTCCTGACTCAAAAATCCCATCACAACAACTACTAATGCTTTTTGAGAACTTTCTGTGTGTTAGGCAAACATGCTAAGTGCTTCTTGAACATCAGTGAACACTAACTACCACCCTCAAGTGGGTACTATAATGAAGCCCACATTGTACATGAGAAAACAAGACATGGAAAAATCAAGTCCCTTGCTCAAGGTCACACAGGTAAGAAGTATCAGAATAAAATTCAACTCAACATCTGACTCCACGGCGTGAGTCTTCAGTCATTATCTCCCTCATTCTCTGTAGCCCTGGAGTAATAAGGCAGAGGGAAAATCCCGGTTCTATAACCCTTTGACTCCAATATCTCAGAGTTCCTGGGAGTTAGGGGGTGGTGTGGGAGGTTTAGGCACAGATGGTGCTGAGTCCATCTTCCCTGCAACATGTACCAAAGTCTTGATGAACCCAGGGTCCGTTCTGGCAGGGACCAAGGAGGAGGGAAGAGACAATACCCTGGCTTCCCGGTAAACTGTGGCCTGCTTGGTAGGAGAGGCCTGGCACAGGCAAGGAGCGGAGCCGCTTCAGCACCAAGGACAGCGGCCGCGCCCGAGCCCCAAGTCCGCAGTCCTTTTTGGGATGATGTGGTGGGCGACGTTCTTCCAAGGCTTTCCTATGAGCTGGGGAAGGGGTGACTCAGCCCGTGGTCTTCCCCAGCTCAGGGCAACCAGAATTCCCAAGAATTCCAGATTCCTTTTTACCAAGGCCCTCTCTTTTATCTTTTTTTTTGTAGACAGACGTTAAGGAACTCTCTCAGGTGGCCTGTCCTCCCGCCCGGGGCTTCTCGCCCCTTTGCATCGCATGTGTAAGAATGTGGGAGCAGGCCAGAGGAGAGACAACGGGAGAGCGCGCGGCCAGCCGGCGTTCCCCTTGGCCTTAGCCCCTACCCTCAGGACTGTGCGTCCAGGGGCTGAGCCGCCAGCCCACCTGCCCCGCGCCACCGCGGTCATGGCAACCGGAGAGGCTTGGCAAGCTATTGGCCCGCTCCCTGCCACGCCCCTCCGCCAGCGCTTCCCCGTAACTGAGGCAACCGAGAGGCGTTGCCTTCCTCCTTCCAGCTTTTCTAGAGAGGACTGTGTAGGAGAGGGACCCGCCTCCTCTCTCACTAACGAAACATCATTTCTCCAAAATGGTGGCTACTCCCTTACAGTAATTGAGGGAGAGAGGGACTAAGAGAGGATAAGCAGTTCGGGATGTGGATGGGCTGTCGCTGAGGTCACTTCCGGCGAGGACAGGAAGTGGGAGGCAGGTTGCTCTGAGAGACAATGGGGCGGGGTGGAGGAGGGAAAAGGATATAGAGAGTCCCAGGAAGGAGGGATAAGCAGAGGGCTGTGGGCCAGATCCTTCCAGACCTTCACATTCTCTCTTAATCACGAGGTCTGGGGTCCCTAGGCGGGCTCCCTAGTAATAACGATACCACTACCATGTATTTGGTTGATAAACATTTTATCGACATTATCCCATTGAACCCCCCAAACAGTCCAGTGGCGTGTTCTCCGGAACCTCGCCAGCTTTACAGAAAGCCTATCTGCCCCTGCTGACCTGCTTGGCTCTGTCGGGGTTCATCGTGGTTTGGGGTTGAAGGATGTTGACCACCTCAGGTTTGGTCATCGCTTGTGGGATTTCTCGGACCTTCTCGGCAATAAAGCTGTGCACAGCATTCAAGGCCTCTGCTGTGCCTTGTACCAGGCATACTCGTTCTGTGGTTCCTGTTGGGCAAGGAAGAGATAGGCCCTATTTAATGGAAAGAGAAAACGGAGGTCCAGGGAGTAGTCATACAATAAGCCTGAGCAAGCTGGCATGGGCTCCCCAGGTCATGGTGGGCCGCTGGGAGAGTGAGTGGAATCCCTGTTTTATAATCTGTAGTTCATTGCCTGCCCCCCACAATACAACCCCAGGGGATGGAAGAATGATGGTTTGGCGATGCCCACAGCAGCCCTGGGCAGGGGAGTCAGGGCTCAGCTGCCTCTTCCCAGTTCTTGCCGGCTCCTCGTTGCTTTGGCAACCATTCACTCACTCCCCCCTTCTAGAAGCGGGAGAGCTCAGGACTGCAACGGTTGCCACAGTAACTGGAACCCCCTTATCGGTCTGGCTGGCCGGGTCCTCAGCCCACCCCCAGGGGGATGAGGGATGAGGCCCCGTTGCCATGGCAACCCCTGAAAGCCTGCAGCGAGGGCCTCTGGGCTTTTGGAGAGGATGGGGAAGGGCTGGGGGATGGGGGAGCCAGAAGAGAGGCCTGAGTGCCCGCCTGGACCCACCAGATGGAGTTTGAGGGGTGGGGGAGGGCAGGGGTGTGCACCCAGGAGAGAGCTGAGGGGGTCAGGGGCAACTCGTGGAAGAGTGGGCACTCGTGGAAGACTGGAGGACTGGGTGTCTTTGCTGGAGATTCTCCAGATATTGGCTGTGGTTCTGACCTAGGCATCATTACTGTGTGTGTCTGAGTCTGCGGGGGGGTGGAGGGACAGCGGGGCGAAGAGAAGCTAACTCTGGGTGGTGTCAGGATAAGTGTGTGGGAGAGACACTCTGGGTGGCACTGTGAGCAGTGCGAGGCTATTGGTGAGTCTGTCTGGGTGGGTGGTGTGTGTATGCGCGTGTGTGTACACTTGGGCAGGACTAGTTAAATGGTCTGTATCTGTGTACATGTGTATAAGAGAAAGAGCAGGAGAGATGAGATAGAAACAGGCTGCATGACACAGTGATTCCAGGAAAGAGGATTGTGTGTACTCTAGTAGGTGAGAAAGACTATGAGTGTCGCTGTGATGTTCAAGGTTAAGTACACCATGAGAGTTTGAGAGGAAGAAACAGAGACTCTGATGAAGCGACATTGAGGCTGTATGATGAACACATATCACTTTGAAACTGTAGGACAGTGTGTGTGTCTGTGTCTGTGTATACAGGTGTGTAAGGGAGAGAGACAGCTTTTGAACACCTTAGGTGTTCCAAAGACTGTTTTGATTATGGGTATGTGATACACATGTATATGAGTGTGTGCATAGGATATGCACAAGACTGTGACTGATGTGCGTGAACATAAAAGACTAGTAGGCACCTCTTTCTTGCATCCGGGTGCCAGGATGTAAGACTGTTTGGAGGACTGACATGTTTGTGTGTCAAGTGTACGTGGCACAGCCAGACAAAGAAGACTCCGCTCTGACTGGCTGGCCCGAGAATTTGAGTGCCTGGGTGAGCTGGCCACTTTTCGTGTGTGGGGTGTGTGTGTGTGTCTCTCCCTGGGTGGGACTCTGTCTGTAGGACCAGTCAGCTCCCCGGTTCCATAAAAGGACTTGAGTGTGTGTCAGGCTCAGCGTCCCTGCGTGTCTGGGACACCTGGGGTGAGCGTGCAATGTCCTATGCGCATTCTAAGGCAGCGTGGTGGTTGCTACTACTCTGACCCCTCATTTGCCATCTCTCAGCCCGGCACGACAGTGTGTGGGTGTCACTGTCTTGGGTCACTCGTGTAGTTGACATCCTCCATCTCCTTTGGGCCACTGTTCCTAACTCTTACTCCCCTCCACTCCAGAACAATGGCTTGGTCTGAGCCAAGGGTGAGTCAGCTCTCAGGCTGCCTCCGTCTGGGTGTAAATAGGAAAGGGTGTGGGTCAGGGTGGGAACTGGGGGGCGGTTCGGGTGGCCCCAGGGAGAGCCTGGATGAAGCGGTCAGGCTCTCCATCACTGTGATGTTCCCTTCCAGCTCAGAGAGTGTGTGACCTCCCACCCCCTCGTAGTTCTTAACCTGGGTCCAGAGGGGTTTTGTGGGGCTCAGCTAAACTCTGAAAGAATGTCCAATAATAACAGCTGGTGCTTACATAACACCAAGCACCAGGCACCATTCTAAGCACTTTATATATACTTGCTTCCTTTAATGTATAAGGCAGGCGGTATTATTATTCCTGACTTACTACTGAGGACACTGAGGTCCAGAGAAGCTTTGGGGTTTGTTCAAGTTCACTGAGCCAGTAGTAAAAGATCAAAAGGTTTTGAACCCAGGTGTCTGGCTTCAGAGTCTGAGCTTTTAACCACTGAACCACCCTGCCCTAAATTTGGGAAGTGTAAAGTGTGTGTGTGGGATGGAGAAGCAGGCATCACATGATTGCAGTTTTCCTTTTGCATTTTTGATAGTAAAAAAGAATAGGTATGGATTTAGTAAGAGTCATTTAGGATTTTTGTACTTTGGGGCAAACATATTATAAATCAATACTTTTTTTTAGAAAAGTGTGTGTGTGTGTGTGTGTCTGTGTTTTCCTCCCGGGGGCAGGGTCCAGGGCTTCAGGTGCTGCTCAAATTCAGAAGGAGTTTAGAACCACAGGGGCATCTGGGTGAGTGCACAGGAGGAATCTTTGTGACTTTGGGCAGGGACCTGTCTCTTTCTGGGTCTCCGAAACCTGAAAGGATTGAATCTGGGGCTTGGGGTTTCCCATAAGAAGGAGGGGACCCTCTTTGTGTTCCGCCCCTCCCTTGAGGGGCCAGGTAGGTTCTGCAGTTGACACACAAGTGCAGTGTGTGCTGTCTGTGTTTGTGGTGACCCTACTAGGCCTAGAGGATGCTATCCATCTCTCGCCTGTTCTCTGTGCTTCAGCCACACCGAGTAAACCACCCTCCCCCAGTCTTTGAACACCCCTCACTGCTCTTTACCTGGCTCACTTTTACCTATTGTTCTGGGCTCCTCCTCCAGGAAGTCCTTCCTGACCTCCCCAGGCTGAGTCAAGTGCCCATCTGGGCTCCCACCATCCCCTGGGCTTCCCCATCTTGCTGTGGCCACTCTGGACCATCACTTGTGTTGGGTCTGTTTCCCCTTCTGGGGTGTGAGATTTGAGAGGGCATGGCTGGGTCATCTCGGTCACTGCTGTGTCCCTGTCTCTGTCTAGCACAGGGTGGCAGAGAGGAGCTGCTGAGAGAATGTGTGTTGAATGAATGAATGAAAGGGTGTCAGCCAGAAGTAGAGGGAAATATGTTATTGGTTTCAAGCAGTAGCATCTTATTTCTTGTGCTCCTGTGGGTCCTGGGAAGTCTAGGGACAGGACTGGGATAGAGTGGGCTGCGTCCTGTGTCTTGGAGTTGGGAGCTGGCACCCGCCATATGATTTGGAGCGGGGAGGGAGGCTGGTCACATGTCTGAGGGCTCAGGAGAGATGCTGGCTTATGTTGTTTGTTTGAATTGTGTGTGTCCCAGGAGAGGTGATGACTGGATAACTGTCCCAACCTCCGGGGTTCTCAGCTGCCTGGTCTGTGGGGTGTGTCACCGAGCTGGGAGGGGACGATGTGTCTCCTGTCACAGAATGTGACCCAAGTGTCCTCGGATGAATGTCCCAATGTCTTATCCGTATCTTACAGGCTAGAAGGGTACGGGGGAAACTGGGCCAGAGCAGAAGAGAAAAGCGGGGTTTGCTTGGTTCCCTGGACTGTTCTCCAAACCTCTGGTCAAAGCTGCTTACTGAGATGGGAGGTGGGTGGAGTGGAGGGTGGAGAAAGAGAGAGAGGGGAGAGAGAAAGAATGACAGAGAGAGAGAGATTATGAATATGAATGTGTCCTGACCCTAAGCTCCAGCTCTGGTGTTTGACCTAAAAAAATCCAAGGGGATTAAGGATGAACGAGAACCAGCGCTGGGCCAAAGATGCAATAATTCGAAGGGCCTTCCCTGGCCTCCCAGATGCCAAAGCTCAGGCATTGGTCTCGGGAGGGGGATGTGCAGGGGTGAGAGATACCGAGGGGGATCAGAGAGCGTGGAGGGGCCTCAAAGAACGCATGGTGGCGGGGAGGGAGATAGAGATGGAGGAGAGGCAGGAAAAAGTCTGAGTTTAGGGAGAGACAAAAATCGAAACAAAACACACGAGGGAGCTGAGGTTTAGCAGAAGGAGAAACATGAGGGAGACGAGGGAGACGGGCAAGCCGAGGCAGAAAGAAAGGAGGGGCAACCAGCAGAGAAGGACCCACGGAAGGTGCTGCTGGACACTGGTGGGATGGGTGGCTGAACAGAGAGTCAGGAGAGCAGGAGAAGGAAGCATGAGAGAATACAAGAGGTGGATGGGATGACAAAGATGGGAAGACCGGGACAGAAAGGGAGGAGAAGAGACGGGTGAGAGGCTGGGAGGACAGGATGTGCGGGACACCCCGACAGAACCAGAGACACGGGAGACACAGGCAGAGAGACGGGAGCCGAGAGAAGAGCAGGAGACAGAGAGGGGCCGTAGGGATGGAGGCGAAGGGAACAAAAAGCTGGAAAGGCAGAGACAGAATGAGAGAGAGACACATAGAGAATGACACAGACAGAAACCCAGTGAGACTCAGATTGGGGTGACAGAGATATCCAAAGGGAAAGTGTGGGAGTTTGTGACATGGCTGGCTGGCCCCCGAAGCCCCAAGGAACACCCTAACACCGGCCTCCCTGCCTCTCCTGCAAGCTCCTCCAACTGACCCAAAGGGGCAGGTGTGTGGGAAGGGGCACATCTGCCGGCACACCATGCAAATGAGTTCATGAATATGCAGCAGGTCCATTGTCTTGCCCTGCCCCCACCCCCATCTGCTCCGGCCTGGCCCCAGGGGCCGAGGGCAGCTCTATTCCCCGCCTTAGGGGGAGGAGAGATCCCCCCATCACTCTCACTGCCCTTGGGGCAGCCCCGCCCCCTCATCAGGGCCCAGGTGGGCGGGACGGGAGGCCTAGGGCAGAGTCGGGGGCAGGGGCTTACCGGGATAGAAGTCTTTGGACTTGGAGAGCTTGATGGTGGCTCCTGTCTCCTTCTGTAGCTGCACGATGGTCTGGCCGCCCTTGCCAATGATGGAGCCTGCTGCGTAGCTAGGGATCAGCACCTTCAGGAAGTATTCACCTTCCTCTGCGGGGGCACATGGTGGACGGAGAGTCAGGGTAGAGGGAGGTGGTGGAGGGAGAGGTCCTCACCTTTAGAGGGTACCCCTTCCCTTCTTCAGGTGCCAGCATGGGGTGCCCTGGGAAACCCCATGATGCCCACTGGGATCACAGTAACATACAGGAGGGATGGCCATGAGGATAGCAGTAAGGAAAATAATAATGATCATTCATTCATTCATTCATTCCACAAAGTTGCTAATCACCGGCTATGTGCTTGGCGCTGTTCTAGTGAAACAGCCTTCAGGAAAACAGACAAAGCTCCCTGATTCCGAGTGTAAAGTAAGGGAGAAACAGTTTTAGTGCCTCAGCCAAGAGCTTGCACAGCTACATTCTTCTAGAGAGGGGAGACAGACAGTACCGTTTGTGTCAGACAGGAGTAAGTACCAGGAAAACAAAAAGAGGCAGGAAGCATGATGAGGAGGGCAGGGGCTGCACTGTGGGATCGGCGGCCAGGAAAGCCCTCCGGGAGAACTCGGCTTTCTTTGTTCACCAAACACACTACATACAGCACCTAATATGGGCTGGACTCTCTCCCAAGGACTTACAAATATCAGTCCTTTGGGTTTTCACACTGATGCAATGAGGGAGGTACTTAAAAGGTCCCATTCTATGGATGGGAAGCAAAGATGAAGAAATTGCCCCAGTTCACACAGCTAGTAGGCAGCAGGGCTGAGATTTAAAGCCAACCTGGCTCCAGAGTCCATGCTCTGAACCTTTATGGTTTACTGTCTCCCCGCTGTGGAAGGGGGGACAGAACCACGTGGCTATGCGGAAGAGCAAGTACAAAGGCCCTGGGGTGGGGTTACACCTGGGTTGTTCCAGGGAGAAGGTGGTGGCTGTGCAGCTGGTGCTAAGTGAGAGAACAGGAGATGGGGCTCAGCGAGGCGGTGGTGGTGGTGGGTGTTCAGGCTTGTGGTCCACAGTGAGGTCACTGGTTTCCACCCCATGGAAGATGGAAGCCACAGAGGGATCTGAGCAGAGGAGGGATGTGATCTGACTTAGGTTTCAAGAAGATCCCTCTGATGCCCTGACTGGTATGACTCAGTGGGTTGAGTGCTGGCCTTCAAACCAAAAGGCCACCAGTTTGAATCCTGGTCAGGGTTGCGGGGCCAGGTCTCCGGTTGGGGTTGTGAACTGATGGATGTCTTTCTTCCTCCCTTCTACTCTCTCTAAAATATCAATAAAATCTTTTTTTTAAAAAGATCCCTCTGGCACTCAGGAGGAGAGCAGACTGAGAAGCGCAGGGTGGAAGAGCTGGGAGTCCAGTGAAGAGCTGAGTGCAATGGTCTAGGCAGGAGATGATGGCGGTCTGACTGGCGGAAGCAGGGAGAGGGGAGAGCGGAGGAGGGCTGGGTTCTGGAGACGTCTCAGCACTCACTATGGGCCTGATGCTGCTTGGCAAGCCTGATCTCTTCCATTCCTCACAACCTACCAGTGAGGTGGGTAGCATGGGCTCTGTTTTTAGAAAAGAGGAAACTGAGGCACAGGGGGACTCAGAGAAAGAAAGGCACCAGCCCAGGGTCACCAAGATAGTTAGTTGCTGGGTTGAGATTCAAATGCAATTATGCCTCAGTCTTGGCCCTCTTCTGCTTAACACCCTCTCTGGCTGGTGGCTAAAGACCAAGGTGTTCAAGGACAGTCAGTCTCAATACCTGAGGTGGCCAGGTGGGGCCAAGGGTATTTGTGGGGCTTTGACCATTCTTTGCAATGGGCCAGTTTTCTTGGTCATGTGTAAGGCACTTTGTTAACACAGGCTCAAGGCAGGTGCTCAGCCCTCCTACCTTCTCACCAAACTGTAGGCCCTAAGTCCTTCCAGGGTACAAATCTGGAGCCTTTTTCCATATAAGTCCCTTGGTGACTTGGCCCCGCCCACCTTTCCAGCTTCAGGCCCCCATCTTTCTCCATGGGCACTAGGCATACTTTTCCTTCCTCCAACATCTCTCCCTCCGTCCCATCTCAGGGCCTTTGCATATTCTCTTTGCCTGGAACGTCCCCCTCCACGCCTCCCAGTGAATTCATCTTGTCCTTTAGATACCCACTCAAATGCCTCTTATTCTCGGAAGCTCTCCTTTAGCTCTGAGGAGGGGATGGGTTTCCCTGTCTCATGCATTCGGAGCCACGTGTCACAGAAGCCCATTGTGGGTCGTGTCACTAGAGCTCCGCTTTGTGTCCCAGTGCCCAGCAGTAGTAGGCATGCAATCAACACTGGGGGAAAAATGGGGACAGGGGGAGCCAGGTCACTCTCTTTCCAAAGCTTAAGGTCTTCAACCATCCCCAGTGGTTTTCAACTGTTTCTTTTAAGTGGAGGAAACCTATTTTCAATGTTCTCCCATGAAACGCCGACACGCAGAGCAGGCAGAAGACAAACTGTGCTAGTAATAGTGGGGGCAGGGCAGGGGCGAGAGTCCTGCCCATCTCCACCTGGTCCCTCAAGATGGGAGGTTCTTGGTTCCCTGATGTGTTATGATGGGGGTCGGGGTGGGGGCGAGGGTTGGATGTGGCTGTGCCTGCATGGGGAGGGGGCACAGAATTAAGGGTTTCCTTGAGCCTAAGGCAATCCTCTTAAACTTGCCTAATCAGACCATTAAGCCTGTTAGGTAATTAGCCCCACCCACCAGGGTGCCTTCCCATCAATCACCCTGACACTGCCCCGGATTCACTTTCTTCCCTGGGCTCGCGGGGATGGCCCCCTGCCTGCCCTGCTCTTAAATCCATCACAGAGATGGGGACTGGTTCTCTAACTCGGGGAGGCTCAGAAACAAGGTTCAGTAACACGGAGATGCAGCCCCTCTCACTTAGGGCTCCGTCCTCTTTCCTTCTCTGACTCCATTCCCGATCCCTCCAGCGAGGACGGAAGAGATCTGCTCTGCAGAAAACTATGCGCATCCCGACCCGGTTTCCCGTGCCCCTTCCCACACTTCCCAGGTTTTACCAGAAGTCCCATAGGAAATGGCAGGAACGGCCCTAGACTGAGGGTGGATTTTCTCACTGACTGCCTGTGTGGCCCTGGGCAAGAGGTGTCACAAGTTTGGGCCCCAGTTTTCTCATCTGTAACGTGGGGGCATGATCATGCTCTCTCAAAGGGTTATTGTCATGGATTGAATGGTAAACTGTAAAGTACTCAGGAAGGTCTCGAGCACCTAGAGCACTTGAGGAATGTTAGATATCATCACCATCACCACCACCCAGTTCATGAATACAGGCAAAGTCCTTGTCCCAGTACCTGGCACACAGTCAGCGCTCTATAAATGAGGAAAGGAGCCTGTAAGGTTTGCCGTTTTTCCAGGAAATACAAAAAGGAGGGGAGACCCCGCTTCCTCCATCCCCTTGCTCCACTGGGAGGGGCTGCCCCCACCTGTCCCTGCTTCTTGGAGGAGGAGTATCTTCTCACTGGTAGAAGTGAGATGCTGCTCCCCCAGTCTCCTGCCCCGATGTCTCTGTAACTCTCCTTCTTCATGCCACCTTCGTGAATTTTCCCCTTCTTCCGTCCTTCTACCGTTCTACTGTACTTCCGTCCTGTACTATTATTTCCTTCCTTCTTCTCTCCCTCTTCCTTCCCTTCCCGGGCACCCACTGTTCCAGGTGCAGCAGATATATCCAGGAACGAGATAGGTGGATTCTTTATTTTAAATCCACTCCCTTGTCACATTTAAATGCAATGATTTAAAGAGGATATTAAACAATCATTACTGATATTCAGAGTTTGAGGGGCTGGTTATATTGTTTCCTCCCACAAAGTACATTCATATAAACATACAGTGGTAAAAAAAAAGTTTGTCTGTGGACCCCCATAAACCACCTTGTGGCTGTGGGTGGTCTTTGTATCAGACCTGCAGAAATCTGAAGCCCCGCCCTCTGGCTGGCTTCCAGTGGAGAGGAGCCAGCTGAGACCTTCCACCTGTTCTAGCTCGGAACTGTAGGTCCCGGCCATCCCCGTTGTGGCCATCAGCCTGGTTCTCTTCAGAATTTGTATGTCCTTCCTATTTGGGGACACTTTATACTGTGAGTCCCACTTCCCCTGGGAAGAAGCCAGGCTTCTGTTTCCCAGCCTGCCTTGCAGCAAGGACAGACACTTGACCTAGGCTGATCCTGCAGCCCCCAAACATCACCCATCCCACTCTGTTTGAACATTCAAGACTCTGCCTGAGAAGAGTGTTTCCTTCTGGTGAAGCAGAGTCTAGATGTCAGAACCTTCCACCCACCCCAGCCCTCCGCTTTCAGCTCTTTCCTTGGGGGTCCAGGCAGCCCCCTCTACACATGACAGGGACTGAAGAACTAAAGATGCCAACTTCCTCTCCCGATCTGTCTGTGTCCCTGTGGCTGCAGCTGCCACCATTTCCGCCTTGGGAAGGGGCAGTCTTTCTTCTTCTAGTCTTTATGAGGCTCTGCTCCTCCACCCCCTGGATGCCCACCCTCCCCAGGAGTGTTCCTGAAAGCTTCCAAAAAGCAACCAAAATTCCTCTACCCCTTCTCTAAATAATGTTTACCTACCCAAAAGTGGTGCTTTTTACCATCAGAGAGTTGACCCTGAAAAGTGGCTTTGATCTGGAAGGGAATTCATTAACGACCAAGGTAGGACAAAAGGGGTGTATGTTGTAGAGGTGTTTTCGGTGACAGTATGTCTGGGGGGCAAAGTTGGGGTGCTGCACTCATGGTACCTGCTCTTGTCTGGGGGTCAGAGGTAGAAGCGTCGCATGTTCCATGGAGGTTCGGGGACGCTGGGGGTGGTGGTGATTTTGTCGAAGAGGCACGTGAGGGAGCTGCCGGTGCAAGACAAGAGATGGGGGGTGAGGTGTGGGCTGGTACCGCCGAGGGCGTGGGACGCCAGGCATGCGATGTCTTTCTATGAATGATGGTGTTGCCCGCTAGTGTGAGAGATGTACTACTACTGGAGCGTGCCCCCGAGGGGATGACATGCTGGAAGGTGTGATGCTGTCTTTGTGCTGTGACACTGTGAGTGAGAGAAAGGTGGGTGGGGTATAACTTCCTTGGGGTGATCCACCATTAAGTGGTGAAACAGTGACATTCTCAGTGGCAATGATGATGATGATAATAGTAAATGGCAGCTATTGTTTATTGAGTGCTTCTCATCTGCCAGGCCTCGTGCTGTGGACTTCACACACACAATTTCGTTTAACCCACACGACAGCCCCGAGAGGCAGTGGGAGACCTTACAGTCCCCATTTCTCAGATGAGGAGACTGAGGCTTTAGGGCAGCAAAACAACTTGCCTGAGGGTCCCACACTGAGCATGAGACACTGACGAGTGGGACCCTGGAAGATCTCACTCTAGGGCTTGTAACCCGGTGCTGTTGTCTTTGTGTTAAAGAGTGTGGGGTGTTGGGAGCAAGACCTGGCTGGTGTGCTGTGTTTGGGGTGTGGGCTGTGAGGTGTGTGTAAGTTTCTTGTTTATATGGGGGTGACAGAGGTGGTAATACAGTCAGAAGTACGGAGGCCATTCTAGTGAGGCTTCATAGTTATCATCTGTACTTAAGGGGGCCACTCTCTGTCACTGTCCCATCAGACTGGGGTCATTGGTTTTTCCTAACTGGGGTTTCCACCCAACTCCTCACCCCACGGCTCCTGTCCTCAGTGCCCTGTGTCCCTCCCAGTGGTGCTGCCAGTCAGTTTTACAGCCACCATCTCCTTTCTCAGCCCCCAAGAGTGGAGCAGTAGTGGCAGGCTGTGACACCCCGGAGGAGTGCCCTCCTCCCTCTGACCCTGTTTCCTCACTTGAAAATGGGGTTCACTACAGTGGACACCCACACAGTGGAGCTGGCCTCCTGAGTTCACATCATGGCTCTGCCTCTTACTAGCTGACTGACTTCAGGCAAGTTACTTAACCTCTCTGTGCCTCAGTTTGCCATCTGTAAGACGGACGATGTAACAGAATCATGGGGATTCAATGATTGGTCCGTACGAAGTGTTTTCCAGAATTATTCTTGGCACACTGTAGGCCATCAATATTAGCCATTATTATAATTTATTATTATTATTATTACATCATAGAATGTTGGAAGAATTAAACGGAATACTGCACGTAAGGCATTAAGCAATTATATTGGTTGCTTTTGTTATTATTATCGTTGTGGTTATTGTTATGTCCCGATTTGGCAGATGGTCACACCGAGGCGCAGAAAAGGGCGGGGCTGAACCAGCCTCCCGCAGCCATGACAGTGTTACCAAAAGGAGCCCTCACGTTGGAGATGAAAATCACGGACCCTTGCCCAGCCCTGCCCCTGGGTGTCTTTGTAAGTGGCTGTCCCTTTGCGTTTTGGGGCCTCAGTTTACCCATGGGTCAGTGGGAGAGGAGGTCAGGCGGCAGAGGCTGGAGGAGCAGGTCCCTAATGGCTCATCCTAGTTTCCCTGCTGCTGAGAGTTAAGCACATGAACTCTGGAACCCGGCACCCTGGGCTGAATAGATCCCAGCTGTGCCAGTGACAGACCTGTGTGACTTTGGGCAAGTGGCTTCATGTTCCTGAGCCTCAGTTTTATTCATCTGAAAAAACAGCTCAGATCATCTCCCTGGAGGAATTTTTTTGGAAATTAACCCATATCTCAGAGTCTGACTCAGAGTAGGTGCCAAGTACTTGGACCTGACAATCTTCTGCAGCATCACTATTGATAGGTTGTGCTGTTCTGAGTGATTTGATTCGGAGCATCTCAGCCCCTTTAAGAGAAAAATGGATGTGCCGTTCCCCACCGGTGGGGGCGGGGCTGAACTGCCCGGCCGGGGCTCGGGGACCACCTGGGTCCCTGAGCCTCTGAGCACTGGGAATGGCAGTGGGACCGGAAGGAGGGAAGGAAGTCAGTGGGGCCACATTCATGTGTGTGCTGGGGGTGGGGGAGCAGGAAGAAGGACAGGAAACTCACTCCCAACCCCTCCCCCAACTTCCTTTTCCTCCAATTTCTGCTGGACACCCTCATAGATGGCCAGGGGGTCCCCAATTCCTGTCCCATCTGGACAGGGATGAGGGGAGTCCTGGGATGGGAGGAAGAGCCTGGACTGTGCTCATCTGAGGGGAGGATGTGGGAGGTCCCCCACCCGGCCCACGACAGCGCCTGGCAGCGTGGGAAGGGTGCATTCTGCCTGAGGCCATCCCGCTCCCATCCGGAGGAAAAGGCCAGAGGAAGCAGAGATTTTGGCCAAGGTGACCGCAGGGAGGGGCTTGTCTGCTCCGGGGTCTCCTTCCTTCCAGGGCGCTGACGGGCTGGGCTCTGAGGACCCTGGCAAACCCTACCTGCTCCCTGAGACAAATACCTAGCGTTCCCAGCCTGTCTTTTATTCTCCGGGACACAGCCCTCCCCAGGTCACACATACAGTGAGAGCCCCCCCTTGTCTCTTTCTCTCACACACACTCACACACACCTTCGGTGGGGTCAAACATTCAGCCATCACACACGCACACACACACACACTCCCTCGACATACATACACTGTCACCCCTACCTCACTGGTGCCACACACTCAACCATTTCACACACACACCTCTCCCCTTCTTACAAATACACACACTTGGGTGTCACGCACACACCCCCTTCCCTTCCATACCCCTTGGGTGTCATCTGCACATGTTCCCGGTCACACACTCTCATGCGTTTCACCCACAGAGCCCCAACCTCTCCCTCATCATACACCCACCTTCCCTTGTCGCACACACCCCCTCTGATGTCACTGTTGCACACCTCCATGTGTCACACTCAGCCACAGCCTCTCTGGAGTCACACCCACACCATTTTCTTGTCATACACCTTCACTAGCTTCCCCTGGTCCCACCCCACCCCAGACACGCCTGTGCCACACACACTGAATTGCCTTCCCTGGATCCACACAGACTCTCATGGCTCACACCCAGAGTCAGCCCATCCGGCGTCCCCCACACACCCCCTTGCATGTCACACACATCCTCTCACTCATGTGTCACACTCGCCACAGCCCCTTTTGGAGCACACACTTTCCCTTGTTACACATACTCACCCCTTCAAGGGTCTCAAACATGGATCTCAGCCCCTTCTCACCTCACCCTGTCCCTTACAAACACACACACACACACCCTCTTTTCCTGTCATACCCATGATACCTAATGTCACACTTCCAGGCCTCACAGGGCCCACAAGCACACTCAAACACACACACACACACACACCTGTCCCAGCCACACAGTTCTCCCACCTAGCTTTACACACCTACACTTTCCTCCATCTCACCCAACACACCCACCCAGCTTGTCCCACGCACCATTCCGCCCACGGCCCACACATGCCTCCCTCCAGGACAACCCTTTCTCAGGACATCCCCTGGGAGGGAGGCTGGGAAGCTCCGGGTCCACAGGCCTCCTCTACTCCTTCCCCTCCCCCCGCCAGGACACGCCAGTCGGGGAACACCCTTGCCCTGAAAGGGTCACATCACACACCCCTCAAGGACACAGACACTAGCTCAAAGAGACCCACGCCCCCCAGCCTTTGCGCCCCCCCAAGGACACTTACCACCCCCTCCCCCCCCAGCCCTCTCGTCGCAGACAAAGCTCCCAGCACCGGGCCTCGGCCAGAAGGGGACGGGGTCCGGACCCTGCCAAACTCCCCTCTCGGTTCCGGGTCTAGGGAGGGGCGCCTTTGCCCTCCCCAGAGCCCTTGCACCTGCCAACTGGGGAGAGAGGAGGATGGAGAAAGGCGAGGCCTCTGCCGCTCCTCCAACCCGAGCGCAGCCCTTTCTCACCTCCCGTGTTGCTGCGCTTGGTGCAGACCACCTCGGGGGGCGTTTCGAGGGGCCTCTTGCGAGAATCCGGGGCCTCGGGCTCCATGGGGGGGGCCTGGGGCGGCGGCTGGTGCTGCTGCTGCGGCGGCTGCGGCGGCGGCGGCGGCGGCTGCTGTGGCGGCGGCGACGGCTGCTGGGGAGGCTGGGGCTGCGGCGGCGGCGGCGGGGGCGGCGGCGGCTGCGGGGCCGCGGAGGCCGTGAAGAGGCCGTGCACCGCGCCGGCGGCCATCATCCTCATGGTGGGGGGGCGGGGGAGGGGGAGGGAAGGGGATGTGGGAGGGGGAGGGGGCGGTGGCGAAGGGAGGGGGAGGGGGAACCCCCGGAGAGGGAAGGAGGGAGGGAGCTGGTTCTGGGGGGCTGACAGAGGTAAGAGAACGGATGTGAGCAGTGTGGGAGGGCCAAGGGGGTCTCTCCGATGGGGTCTGGAGAAAACTGAGGGGTGGGGTCTCTCTCAAGATCAGGGAGCTCCGGGACTGGGCACGCCACTGGAGGGACCGGACCCCCTTGTTTGCTACCCCGGGCAGAGGGCCGAGCCCCCCAGACCCTGCTCGGGGCGGGGGGCCGGAGGTGGGAGGCGGAGGCGGGCGCTAGTAGGGACTCGAGGGGCGGCAGGCATGGGAGGTAGCGGCGGCGGGGCTGGCTGTGGCTGCTGGCCCGAGCATCTTCTTCCCGGAGGCTCCCACAGCGGCCTGGCCCCGCCCACCCGCGGGAGACCACGCCCATGTCAGTTAGGATCACGCCCATCAACGCCCCATTGGTTTTCTCTTGAAGCCAGACCACGCCCGTACAGGTTGGCCACGCCCCTTCCCACAGCTGCCTGTGCAATCCAGCTCCCCCAGGCTACATACGGTAAGGACCCTGGGCTTTAGGGCACACGTTTCCCACCGTTCACCTGTAAAGAACGTTTATTGAGCACTTACTGTGTTCCAGGTACGGTTCTAAGAAAACGCTTCACAAACGTTAGCACATTTAATCCCTGGAGCAACCAACTCGGTGAGGTACTCTTTTCCCCATTTTGCAGATGAGGAAACTTAGCATCAGTGACTTGACATCACTTGGTCAAGAGAAGAAATCCCGCGTCACACGTCTCTCAATTGACAGCTGGGAAGTCTCTCCTCAAGTTTTTCATCCATTCCTTGAAGAATTAACACAGGGCTACTGCAAAGTCTCAAGGGATTAATTCAATGAACACCTGAGTGAAAGCATGTAACTCTGAGCCTAGCACCCAACTGGTGCTCAATTCAATCAGTACATACTAAGTGCCAGGCACTGTCCCAGATGCTAGGATACAACGGAGAGCAGTCTTGGACTTTGTAAAGTATTACCATCCAGGTCATTGAGAAAAACACATTTTCCAATGACAGAGTGGAGTCCCATGGAGCACGGAGTGTGGCTTGTCCAAGGGCACGCAAGTAGACAGAGGGAAAATTGGGATTTGAATGCAGGACAAGCTTAATTTCAGAGCCTAAAGTCATTGGAAGTCTGGGGTCTTTCCTTGGAATTGATCATTACTAATATTCAATATTCTTCGACACGTGAATTTTCTTCTCTTTGGATTCCTGGTCTCCAAGGATTCTTTCCTCCCAAGGTCAGCCAGAGGCAAGACTAGGCTCAGAGGAGGCCTAGACGGAGGTAATGGTGGCAGCTGGGGGGCCCCTCCCTCTGCTTCGTCCCACTGCTGCCCCTTCCTTGCCATGCTCTCAGGTCCCCAGGATGGGGAGGGTAGCAGATGGCCTGGGGTGGATGGGGTGGCTGCCCATCTGTCCCCTCCCCCCATTGTCCCTAGAGCCCAGGGGGATGGTAGGGGGTTGTGGTCCACTGCAGTCTGGATCCTCCCCCTTCATCTTCCTGGAGGGAGCTGAGGAGCTGGTTGCCATGGAGATGGAGAAGAGGGAAGAAGAATGCAGGGAGATACTGAGGTCAGGCCGAGATCCACACCTTAGACCCTTTGAGTCATATATACTCACAACACATAAGCACATATCCCAACATCCATGGATTTGGGAGCGAAGCCCCCCGCCCCAGTCACACAGACCCTCTTGCAGACACACAGGTACACACTCAACAGTTCCACATAGGCACACTCTGATGTATGGAGACGACTCACGGGGGATAGGCACACACGCTCACACACACACTCATCAATAATGCATAATGCACATTCAGTTATGAGGACCCAAAGGCACGAGGAGGCTCTCACACACGAACAGATGCAGGCACGTCTAACATCTCAATGTTTCCCAGGTGCACACATTCAGAGTCAAGCAACTCCACACTTGGCCACACACACGCTGAGAAGTTATACATACATGATCACAGCCACAAAACAAGTACAGCCTCTGTTACATAAGGCATATATGTTACTGAAATGTGGTACACAGACTGACACACAGACTCGACTGTGTCTTCCATACACATTGGGTAATCACACATATTTATATACATGGCCCACAGAGCCTAATGCACACGATATATGAGACATCACAGGTGGCTCAGCAACATGCACAACACACATGCCGTCCTGTGTGCTGCTAAGCCCCTGCCCCCAAGTCATGCCTGCAGCCCCAGCTCCACCTCCCCACCCCAGCCCTCGAGTTTGGACACACAGCAGCATGGTCGGTCATGCACTCACACTCACACACAAACACAAACCTCCTCCCAGATATTTTTAAACCCAGGCTAGTTCTGCTACTATGGCAACCGCCCCAAACCCATTGCCATAGCAACTCAACGTCAGCTTTCCAAGCACCAAATCCTGGGGGATTGCAGGGCCCCAATCAGAGGCCGGTGGAGGGAGCTGCTGCACCCTCCGCCACCATCCTTGCCATCCCAATACCCTCATCCTAGAGCCTTCAGAGGAGTAGCCACCCGAGGCTGGGCAGGGGTTGGGGCCAGGGATACAACACAGCCAGATTGAGCTGGGACAAAGGCAACTGCCAACTTGCACTTTGCTCCTGCTCCTTGGAGCTTTATGGAGGGGCTCATGGGACAAAAAAGTCAGCCTGTATCTGGACACACACAAGCCTGGGTTCAAAACCTGTCTCTGCCATTTATATGCTGTGTGGCTTGGACATGTTCTTACCCTCTCTGAGCCTTACATTTCTTAACTTGGAAAATGGTGCTGCTGTTGCTGCTGAAACTACCATCCCAAAGGGCTACTGTGACTGGGAGGTGAAAAGCCCAGGCAGATCTGCATCCAGATGCTGACCCTCCCATGTTCTAGCTGCATGAACTCAAGAAAGGGCCTCCCCCTCTCTGCAACTGAGTAGGGGTCAAATAGTAGTCCAATTACACAGGTTGCTGGTAAGATTTCCGACAAAGGGCTGTGCCCACTGACCTAATAATTTTGCATGTAATCCAACATATTTAAGTCTTGAACATGGCCTTTGAGGTAGGTACTATTATTAATCCTGTTGCAGAAAAGGAAACCGAGGCTCAGAGAGCTTGCCTGGGATCATACAACTGCAACATTAGGAAGCTTGGGCTTTGAACTGGGGTGGTCCAAGACACATCTTTAGCCATTTCTCTCTCCTGCCTTTCAAAGAGGGCTGTCAGAAAAAGAGCAATAGAATGGTGGATTCTTGGAAATGCTTTCTAGCCTCAGTTTTCTTTTTTCTTTCTTTAAAGGATTTTATTTATTTATTTTTAGAGAGAGGGGAAGGGAGGGAGAAAGAGAGGGAGAGAAACAGTGTGTGGTTGCCTCTCACATGGCACCCAATGGGGACCTGGCCTGCAATGTAGGCATGTGCCCTGCCTGGGAATCGAACCGGCGACCCTTTGGTTCTCAGGCAGGCACTCAATCCACTGAGCTACACCAGTCAGGGCTAGCCTCAGTTTTCTAGCCTGCTAAGTGGGAGTTCATATGATCCTGCTGGCTGCAGTGTTGGAGGATCCATGGGGCAGCTTGCAGCTGAGGGCTCTGAGCACAGGCTGGCACGCCTGAGTGCTCTGTGTAGGTGGGGAGCAAGTTGGGAGGGGCAGGGCCAATGGGCGACTCAGTGGGCACGGGAGGGAGGTTGGCTGGGGCTGAAGCACTGCTCCTCTCTTTCCCAGCCCAGTGACCTCAGGCATGGGCTCTCTCCAGTCTGAGCCTCGGTCTTACCCTCTGTCAACTGGGTGGCGAGGAGTCTGAGAGCCAGAGGAGGTGAAACCACTTGACATGGTTCCCAGGGAGGAGCTGATATTAGCATCATGTATCCGGCCTATACATGGGATTTAGAAAAGTCAGGACTGTGCCATGCAGGGTTTAACAAACATTTTGGACCCACGGTAAGAAATACACTTAATCATGAATCAGTGCGTATAATGCTGAAACAAAAGTTTTATGAAATCATTCTCCATCTGTATCTTAGTCTATCCTATGTCTACACTCTGAGCACAGGCTCCCATCAGCTCTATTCTACTGGAAAAAATGCTGGCTGGTTTCAGTCCACTAAGCAGTGGTGACTGACACTGTGGAAAACCCTGGTGTTGTGGGTGCCGGGTGGAATCCTGGAGTCACTGGGGGATTTTACGCAGGGGAGTGGCATGGGCTCCAAAGGGGCGATGGAGAAGGGGCTGGATGGGAGTTGGGGTGGAGCCAGAACAGATTCCAGGGAGAAGGGGTTCTTCACCTGGACCCCAGCAGGGGCAGGGGAGATGGAGAGGCGTGATCAGAGGCTGATACATTAACTCAGTGTATCACACACAACATCTGGTGGTTATGAGGACCCACCTGAAGGCAGCCTCTCACTCATCCACCTGACAAAAATATTTACTGAGCACTTACTTATGCCATGTGTTTAGGCACTGGAGATGAATAAAAAAGACACAAATTCCTGACCTCCTGAGCTCACCTTCTAGGGAGACAGACAATAAGCAAGTAGAAAAGTAAAACATAAAGTAAGTTAGATGATGGTAGTGCCATGGAGAATAATACACCAGGGAAAGGAGTGAGGGGTTGGGGTACAATGGGTGGGAGGGATTGCAGTTTTAAGTAGAGTGAACAGTGAAGTCTTCACTGAGGAGGTGACATTTGAGCAGAGACCAGAAGGAGGTGAGGCCCTGTGGATCTCTGGGGAAGGAGCAGGTCAGGCAGAGGCAAGAGCAGGTGCAAAGGCCCTGAGGCAGGG